TGTGTAAGAGCATTATAGCATGAATATAAAATAATTATTTTGAGTTACTTGAAATATGTGTTTATAGAAGGAAATATTTTGTACCCAAGTCCCATCTTGGCACAATACAAATAAATGTTAATGAGCTATTTCCCAAGAAAGCTTCCAAATTCATTTAACATGAAGGTGTAAGATGGGTGCACTGTTTAAAATTAGAATGCAAGTTGGTATCTGAGCAGCAAAGGAAAAGCCTCATCTTTTCCACAGTGAAAAAGTTTAGGAATGTGTCTGTAAGATTTTAGTGTTGTTGCAACTTGTTTTCTTACCCCATTTATCAGAATGATAAAGTGGTGACAGGAGGTACTCTGCTTGCATCCGGAATGTCTTCCTGATGTACTCTCATGATTGATGTGGTTCATTTTAGAGATGTCTGCAAGAGAGCAGCATCAAACACAGGCTACTGTGATTGGAAAGAAAGATTCTGTCATAAATTCTAACACAGTAAAGAGGAAGTTGTTTGCTTTGCCAGGAGTCAGGACATCTTTCAAAACAGTTTTATGCAAAACTATGAAACAAAGGTCCCTTCTGCGATTAGAAATCCCTGTGCTCTTCCCTTAATTCAAAAGAGGTGAAATGCTTCTCTTAAGGGAGTTTGTATGACAAGCTACAAGAGTTTTAAGATATTTTTATTGCTGTTTTCTAAGGGCAGTATGATCTGAATACAACAAATGTTTTTTTAAACTACATTTGTTAAATGTGAGTTTGCTGCATACCTGCAATTTCCAAATCTACTAAACCTGAAGATTACTACAGACATGATTTAGAAAGTCACAAATATTTAAATCTACATTAAGTGTTTTAACATCCCTCCCTCTTTTTTTTTTTTTTTTTTTTTTTTTTTTTTTTTTTTTTTTTGGTGTGTCCTTGGTCAGCAGGGTGTTGTAGAACAGTTAACAATAAGCATACAAGTATCCTTAGCTATTTTTTTGCCACGCTTTATTTGTTTTCCCATCTGTGTAAAAGCCACCCTTACTGGTTCATATCCCTGTGGGGACCTTCTGAACATGAGAGTAGCCATATGTCAAGGCCAGAGCTGGCCATCAAAATCAGTGTTGCCTCTTTATTATGAGAATGCCCTTCCTGTATACAATTATATGAATTTATGGTAATTCTAAATCACTGTATATTGATGTAAATAAGATGTGTGATGAGATCTTATTTATGTAATAAGATTGTTCATTTTAATAGCCTTCAAGATGGCAAGTTGAGAATGAGAGAAACATATAGATTAGGATTTTTATCAGATAGCATTGTATAAAGATTTTGACAGTAGAAAACAAGAACAGGAGATATTAGTTTTTAAAACAGTTCCTGCAGTTGTTATTAATCATGCAGATAATGCATAATATAAGATGATTACATAAGATCCCTTGGTTTAAAGTTGCCCTTAAAATGTGTAATTTGACTCTGAAATGAAACTTTCTTCTGAGGCAGTGGCAGCATTACCATCTGAAGGCTGCTGAAGACTCTTTAGCAAGATAAGGGAAATGGATGGTGCTTGGAGCTGGAACTCCCACATTGCCTGTGGACAGCTTGTTGAAACAAATTTTCAGATTTTAGCAGAAGCGGCTCAGAGCCTGCAGCACTGGAGATCCCTCACAGCCCCTTTTGTTTGATGCAGGTGAACAGGGGATGGCAGGTCCAAGGCGGCTGACCTTGAACAGGGGTCATCAAATCAGCTCTTGGTAACAGAGCAGTGCAAAAATACCTAAGGCTCACTGAGAACAGTATCAAATCTAAAAAATGCATTTCTTGTATTCCCAGGCAACACATTATCAAAAAAACTGCAGGCAAAACCACCTCCCTTACTATAAATAGTAGGTATATAGGTTGACAGCGATTGCCATCTTGTGTACAGTGATGTTCCTTAAAGTGCTCTCAGTACCTGCTTTGACTCAGTTACAGCTGCCATAAAATTTTCAAATAATATGAGCATCTTGCATGATGGTCTACTTTACTTAATAAAAATGGAGTCATACTCTTTTTAATTATACTAGCAAGTACGCCATTGTGATTGGCCTGGTAATGGTGAATGTGAGTCTTGGAAGGTAAGTGCCCTCTAAGGATTTTGTTAGTAAGTCTTGCCAAGTTTTGCAAGGTATGGGAGGAGGGATTAATTGATAAATCTGTTTTCTTAATATTAATTTGATATACCTTTCAGGTGCAGTAGACATTGCTGTCAGTGATATTTAGTTTTTACTTCCCTGATGCTATATAAATAGCATGTTAATTTTAAGAATCACTCTCTGCTGCCATAGTTAGCTTTTTTTTTTTGAAGGCTCATAATGTCATCTAATGAGTAGTTCATGTAGCACAATATTATCTTTTAGTTACCTAGGTTCTATAATTAGCATACAAAGTTGTAACTCCACATTAGTATTTTTACCTATTAAATCTATAGTATGGATGAATCCTCTTTCTTATGAGAAAGGAAAAGTTTTTAAGAATCATGGAGAGAGCATCTTCCTGCTTTCTCCATCCTGAAGCATATGTAAGCATGGCATTTATAGGGGCCATTTAGCCAAAATAATGAGCAACTGGTTTGTGAATAAAGGGGGAGCAGCACTTCAGCTCCTGCCTCCTGCACCTGTGTGTGTTCACTTGTCCTTGACCATCACTTAAGTGGTCTCTCTGGCCCTCTGCCTGCCTGCCTCTCCAGCGCTGGGTGTTTGCAGGTGCAGAGTTGAAGCATGCTGCCTGCTGGAGGTCTCAGCCCCCTCCCCAGGATGGGCACAGGGAGCATCAGTCGATGCTGCTTGGAGAGGCAGCCACAGCACGGCACACAGCTTTGCTGAGCTGCTCTGGGCCGCAAGGCAGGCACACCAAATGTCAGGTGCCTGTCTGCAGATAAATAATTCTGTGTGCTGGGCAAGACAAGATGCTCTGTATTTGAGGCATGGGTCTGGGGAGTCTGCAGGCCCTTGCTCAAGAGAAGGAGGTAGCTCACCTTACTGAAAGACAGGGATATAAGTTGTCTAAAGATTTGGGTTAATGCGGATTTGCTTCATTTATGCCATTTGTTGTGCAGCTATAAGCTTGAAAAGTTTTGTGTTTCTTCTCTAATGAAGTTATTTGGCAAATGCAGATCTATTAACCCTAGAAATACAAAGTGTACAGTCCCAGCATGAGTCATAATAGTTTTTCTTTTCATTTTAAGGAGTGAGCAAGACTCGGGGGTTATGTGTCTTTGTTGAGAACATCTCTGTTAATAATGTTTCCTTTTAGTAAAGCATCGTTTTGGAAGTCTGCCATTATTGTTTTAGAAGTGGCACACAGACAATAAAAGATGAAGTTTAATTGTTGTGAGGTTAAAGGATCCTGCACTGTTCCAAACATTTAATGCTTGGCTCCAATTTTTCTGGAGTCTAGACCTTTGAATGGACAGACTTCTCTGTAGTCCATTTCAAATAAATTCTAGGTTTTCTGAGTTACTAATTCAGTTGATAAAACTAGATTTAGTAACCAACCCAAGGCAGCTGTCAGAATAAACAGTGCTGAATTATTCTGCTAGTGTCAATAGCAGCATCATCCTTATCCACATTTTCATTAGTATTTATGATATGCAGAAGACAATTATTTTCTAATAGGGGCAGATATAAAAAGAATATATGGCCTTCTAGATCAGTCTAAATTGTTAATTCAGTAGCAGAAGCCTTAATAGTAATAGATCCTGATAATGTGTGTGGTCAAACAACTGAATGTTTGTTGTTACTGGTATTTTGTATCTTGGAAACACTGGGGGGATCTTCATGTTAGAATGTTAGAGGTCCTTCAGTAGAGATAAGTCTAAAGATGGGTCTTATGGAAACTTGTATGACTACTTCCCTAAATTTACTGAATTTTCCAGTTGTTTTTCTATGAGATATATACCCTGTGTTGTCATTTCTGATAGTACAGCCTGTGTCCTCAGTATAATACACAGGACACTTGGTTGTTGTCAAAGTTGTTACTCTTTCTGAAGCCAAGTAGCAAAGTGTTGAGACTTTAGTAAAATATAATACACACTGCTCCCAAGTTATGGACATTAAATATGTGTTCCTGGAAATCCATACTGTTTATGGATGTATAGTACTTGCTTCTGTTTATCACAGATGAGACCATTTGTCTTGATTTTTATTTTAACCTCTTGATAATAGTGAAATGTGATATCTCCCCTTGTAATACTGTATAATGATGTTTTAATGCTGACAGTAAATTTATACTTGGCATAATACAGTGAGATATGTATGTTTTCCCATGTTTCAAGCTGCTTTATGTGTGGGGTTTTACTGTGAGAAAATTGTATCATTTGGTTGCATGCCACAAAATAAATTGCAACAAAGATTCCTTTAAAATCCTCTGCTTCTCAGCCTTGGGATGGAGGAAACATCATCCATTTCTGTAGGAAAGCAGTCCCCTCGGGCTGAGACAGCATAGAAAAATTGTTTTATAATAAAAAAGCTTTTAAAAATAAACTTCAAGGGAGATTACTGTTGTCAGCTCAACTCAAAAGCTTTCAGTTAAAATTCATATGAGCTAGCTATGGAGAAAGGTGTTATTACTCTGTTTTTATGCAGCAAGGTGCATTACTGATGAAGACCTGTATTTTGCAGTAAACTGCAATCTGCATACAATTTTCTCTTTGTCTTACCACAGCACAGAAGAAATATGGATACTTTTTTGGTGCAGAGATGATGATGATGATGTTAATGATTTTTACAATTAGCTTTAAATTAAGAGGCTGTTATTGCCTTGGGGGTGCCTGTATTCTTACCCACTTTCAGGCTTTTTTTTGTTTTTGGTTCGACAGCAGGAGGGGCCTCCTGCATGTGCTGTGTATTTGTTAATTCAGCTAATCACAGAAGGGTACTTTAACTTATCTTGGTGCAATGTGTAAGAGTAACTGAGAGTATTTCAATGGCAGGAAGTACAGGACTTCAGATTGATGTGACTCCCATTCTTCATCTTCTTTTGTTTTGCAGTCCACTCCTTTACACTTAGCAGCTGGCTACAACAGAGTTCGGATAGTCCAGCTTCTGCTTCAGCATGGTGCAGATGTACATGCAAAGGACAAAGGGTATGTAAAATTAATTGATTTATTACCTGTTTGCAGCACTGGTTTTGTATTAGTCAAGATATAGAATTGGTTTTTTGGTTCATGTTGCAGCACAATCTCAAATAGTTGTCTGAGAATGTGATGTTTGCTACCAAAAATCTGAGTGTGCTTCAGATTAGTTGTGATTGCACTTTTTTAAAGGCTTCTTTTACACCTTTAAATTTTTTTTCCAAACTTTGCTCTTTACTTCCATTTAGAGACTACCCTTTAAAATTACAGACTAACAGCGTTATTTTTGGATAGGCGATGGGAAGAAGATACAAGAGCTTAGTGAAAGATGTGCTTTGAAAAACTTATCTATGGCCTCATTATCTTGTTTCACATATATGGATGTAATTCCAAGTAACATCAGTAATGCTCATGTGCTCACAACTAGTGGTCCTCATAGATCTGTCTTCATTGAAGCTGACAGCAAAAATCAACATATAGTAGAGGCTAAACTATTCTATTTTTGCATTAAGGGTGGTAGTTATGTAAGATATCAGCAAAGTGCACAGCAGTCAGAAATCTAAAATGATACTTGCTGTGTGTTGTTCTCAGCCATACATTTCTCATCTCTAAGGTGATGATTTTCATGATGGTTGGATTGGAGGGCTTAGTCCTAACATGGTAGAAATTGGGCCCCTAGTTAAAGGCATACATTTTGTATTCAGAATCCATAGAAGTAAGATATGTGTGTGTGCTGTCTCCAGCAGCAAACCTGAGGCACTTCCTGTATTTTCATTTTCTGCTAGTGTTCGAAGTGATTTTAAGTTTTCTTAGCTTCTTTCCCTTTTTTCCTTTCTCTCCAAAACAGTCCTAAGTGTACTTAAAACACTTATAGTTTAACTAATTGTAGCTCTTTTGTCTGTCCATTTACCCCAATGGCTTTGATAAACAGTATTGTTGTTAAATGCAAAATGACATATTATGCAAGTCAAAAAAACAAAAATACACCCAAAAAACCCCACAAAAACCACAGAAAACCAGAACACACCACAACCCCCCCATCCCCCCAAAAAACAGAAAAGACAATAAAACACCTTCCCCCTGCCCCTCAAAAAAACCCACAAGAAATAAACCACAAAAGTCCTACAGTAAAGCTCCATATAATACCTATTTAGGTAGATCCAGCATTATTTAAGCAGGTGGAAGGTCTTTTGTACCTTTCCAAAATTTCAGCATCAGTTGTTAGAAAATTCCAGTGTAGATGCTGTATGATGAGTTTTGAACAATTTGCTTGGAATGTATGAGAGGTAGTTAAGTTGAACTTGAACTTGGGGCTGGAGCAGGAAGGGAAGGAAAGCAAACAAAGAAAGGAAAACCTTTCAATACTTACTCTGTACTGAACTTTAAAACAACCCAAACATATTTAGAAACTTCTAACATCCTAGTAAGCTTCCACTTTTTTTTAGTGGCACCACACATTTAAAATCAGTGTGGTGTTTTGTTTCACCTTGCTGTTTCTTCTTTATACATAATTTATAAGAAAATTGGCTATAAATAACTGTCACTTTTTATTTAAGGAGCTAAATTAGGCTGCATTGATTTTATAGAACTGTTAGGTTCTCTTCAATGGAGTCAAGTCAGAGAAAGTGCTTAGGAATTGTTCTGTATTTTCAAAATGGTCACCACTTCTAGTTTATCCCAAAGAGTAGCCCAGCCAGGGAAGCAGCTCTTTCTCCACTGGTCTTTCCTTTCCCTTACTGCTGTTGTGCTGGAAGAGGGAGTGGGATGCTGCAGAAGTGGGCAGATGCATTGCTGCAGGACTGTCTTTGCTGACAGGCCTTGAAGTCCTCAGTCCTCTGAGACGACCACTTTGGAAGTGGGCAGGTTTTTTGAGTGCTCCGTGAAATGGATAGTCTCTCTGTCTCACACATGCACTCATAAGTTGTAATTAAGAAAAATAATGATGAAAAAAACAGTCTGAAAAATTTTCCCCAAACAAATTTTCCTCTCCTGTGACAAATGTGTTGCTGCTTCTGAGAGCATCCACCTTAAAATTAAGTTTATTTAATTGCTGTCTACTACTTGCTGTCCTAATTATCTCTGGGTTGGTTTTGCAGTCCTGGGACTTACCCCCTGTATTTTTCATAGGTATTATGGGGTTAATTATGGTTTTCATATATTATGTGTACTGATCTGTTGAGCCATAACTAGCCTGTCATGCTTGGCTTGAATTAAACTCATTTTGTCCTCTGCAGTAATTGCCCATCTCACATCTCCTTTTCAATGCATGACTTTTATTACATCTTGTGCTTGTGACTAAATCCCTGTTATTTACTTTGCTAGTGTCATTTTTAAGTATGGCCTGCAGTAATATAGCACTACAAAAATTACAGGGACTCTCTTAGAAGTATCTTGAGCAGTTAAATAGGTTGTACTGTAAAAAATGGAGGAAAATCAGGTCATTCCACAGTCTAGAGCAGCAATTTGAGTCTGCTTTCTATGGATATTTGTACGTCTTCATAAAATACCCAGGAGTTACGTTAGTGTTATCTGGGGAGTTTTGCCTTTCACATAGCATTTAAAATAGGAGTTCCTATTTAGGCAGAAGCAGAACACTGTTGAGGAAATTGAATGTGGAATGGGACTTTTCCCCCTCCTTAGTAGCTTCAAGAAAGATCACATCAAAGCCAGTTAATGCTAGTCTTAATGGTAGATTAAACATCTGTGGCCTGTTAAGGCAAAAAAAAAAACCCACAGCAAAAAAACCCTCCAAAAACCAAGCAACAAACTCCAAGTTTTAATGCCACTCTTAAGTAATGTGTTGTTTGGGAAGTCAGATTTTATCATTAGTTTGTAAATCCTAATTTTTAAATGCTTAACTACTTGAATATTTTAACTATTATTTGATCTTTTAATTTCAGTAGGGAGAAAACTGTTCCTCCCTTAAAAATGTCACTTTAAAGAAAATTGTCATTTGCCTTCTTCTTCCATGCAGTGGTCTTGTGCCTCTTCATAATGCCTGTTCCTATGGACACTATGAGGTTACAGAGCTGCTGCTTAAGGTAAGCAGAGGGATGGGAAGTAATTACTGTTGATTTAGATGTGTTAGATGAGATATGAACTGTTTATATCAGAGTTGAAAAGTAAGATTTTTTTTTTCCTACTAGTAACAGGTTTCAAACATCGTATTTTCATTTCAGAAGCCTGCAACTGTAGGTCTTTGAAACAGTATATGTGTTTTTTTCTTTATCTAATTTCTTTGGACTGATAGTAGAGTTGAATCTTTCTGTTCAAAAATTAGCTCACATAAAAATTCCAATTATTTTTCACAGATTCAACGGTATTTTTGTGTACGCTAGTATTTTTAATTAAATTTTGTCTGTGTGTGTTCATACATGAGTGATTTGAAACAATTTTTATAATAAAATGTAAATCTGTAAGCTTTTTAGTTGTTGGAGCTGATTTCTTCCTAAAGCAAGGCTGTTTTTGCTGCGCTAGCACGGTGCCTGTGTGAATGCCATGGACCTGTGGCAGTTCACCCCGTTGCACGAGGCCGCTTCCAAGAACCGCGTGGAGGTCTGCTCGCTGCTGCTGAGCCACGGCGCCGATCCCACCCTGGTCAACTGCCATGGCAAGAGCGCCGTGGACATGGCTCCGACGCCCGAGCTCAGGGAGAGGCTGACCTGTAAGTGCTCCCAGAGTGACAACACTTGGTGGTGGGTGCAGAGGGATGCTTTCCTTCCAGGACACCTTCCTCGAGCTTCAGAAGTGGGTGCAAGGCGGCAGAGTAGCTGCAGCTGTGCCGTGTGCTTTGCAGTGCACAGGTGTCTCTGATACATCGTTTGTTGTATTGCCTGGTTTTCTGAAATTTAGGATTATTAAGGCACTGCTGAATCAGTGAGTTTGGGTTTTTTTTTAATGTTTAAAGTTCAGTTCAGTCACGCAGGACCCTCTATATTGAGGGTCTGTATTGCACTTAGAAACTTACAGAAGGTAGGTACCTTTGGTGTGCAACTGTAGAGATGGAAATTCCATCACCTTCTTTTGTAACAATCATTACGCTGTTTACAAACCAATATTTCATCTTTAATTTTAATTTGTATGCCTTTGCTTGTGCTCTTCGGAGGATTTGTTTCCTGACTCTTAGAAAATGTAAAAGATAATTAAATGAGACAGATATGGAAACAGAGCATTATGAAGTTACAGAAAACTTCTTGAGGATTAGAATCTCAATTATAAATAAGTTTTTGGTTTTGTCTCTCACCTTTCCACTATAGCAGAAGCCCCTAGAGATTAATAATGTGATCCTGCACTACTCACAATCACAGCTAGTCAGGTTTTAGTCTAGTCACTATTATTTGCAGGGGACAATGGTGAGATCATGTGCAACAGAAAACTTTGGTCTAGAAGAAAAGAGGAGGGCATTAGTATCTGGGCTATAGCTTCTGACCCTGAGGAGGATTAATTTAGCATTTATTTAAATTAACAAACAAAATAAAATCAGTTTAAACTTTGGTTTATTTCTGTTTAGAATTCCTCAAGAGCAATGAAGGAAGATACATGTCCATTAATATCCACTGAAATTTGTAAACATATGTGAGCATTAGGTCAAACTTGACAGTATCTTGATGGGAGAGCTTGTATTTGCATCTCAAAAAACCATGTTTTTATTTTCTTGAGTTGTTTTGTCATATACTTTGGGAATAAAGTTACATTACATTTGTTATTTCAAAATTTATTTGCACTTGTGCTTTGAGTAGTGCTTTGCTTACAAAGAAATTTAAACCAGACATTAAAACAAAGTGGGAGAAGAAAGCCCTTTATTAAAAAACTTAAGATCTCCAGGTTGCTTATGAAACAAAAATATTTATATTTTTACTGAAAATGAGGTATTTTTTTCTAGTTCGCAGAGTCAGATGTAATTTTTGCTAACCTGCCTTTTGTCTGAACATTTTTGAGAGAAACACTTCTTTTCAATTTCAAAGTTATTTAAAACTCAAATGAACTAGTTGCTGAACTAAACAAGATTTGGAAATAGCAAAATTAGTGATCTGTACTTGCAAAGATACACCTGCTGTCAAAACTTGTTTCATCTTGGGAGCAGACTGGCTTTAAATGCTCAGCTAGTTAGCTTTCTTTAAGACCAAGAGTTTAGTATTTTATATATGTATTATTGTTGGTTTTGTTGTTATTGTTGTTTTTATAATTTTATAGAAGTTATATATATACACTTAAGCTTTACAGTGAATTCTTTGTCATGTAAATACAATACAGTTTTTGAAAAACAACTGTAATTCTTTATTTTCCTAAGAATAGCTCATGGCATTGTGCTTATTTGAACAGAGACATGGGTAATGTAGAGGTCACATATGCATTTAATGTCAGGTGGGTGGAGGATAAAAGGGAGAAAAGCTATAAGGATTTAACTCAAGGCATAGCTTCCCCTATCCTTTAGCATACCCCTTTGGTTTCAGCAAAGCTTCTTTCATGTTCTGTGTCCCAGGTCAGCTGGCACCAAAGACATGCAGAAGCACTCCTTTTTCCTCTTAACTGAGTATAGCTGTCTTTCTGCAATAACATTTATAAATGTGACATTTTGCTGAATATTAAATGTGTGTTTTTCCTCTAACAGATGAATTCAAAGGACACTCTCTACTGCAAGCAGCCAGAGAGGCAGACCTAGCCAAAGTGAAAAAGACACTTGCTTTGGAGATCATTAATTTTAAGCAGCCACAGTCGCATGAGACTGCACTGGTGAGATTATACAGTCAATCCATTTGCTTCATGATAAATGTGCTGGTAGCCTGGAGTCAAGGAGTTTTATTTCTACACTATGAAAATACATTCATCATCTGAGATAGGGAATTTGGCATTGAACACTTTCTATGCTTAAATAAAATCACCACTATAGAAAAAACATAATATAATTTATTTTAAGACTTTTTTCCTCTCTTCTGGTAGATTACAGAAGCTCTCCAGCCACTCTTCACTTTTTCATTTTTCACTTCTCTTGCATTTTTTCCTATAAACCTCTTTTTTGTTGGACTGTTGTTGTGGTTTTTTATGGGGTTAAATTTTATTTCTGCAGCCCAGTGGTTTCCTTCATGTTTTATGTGAGTGAACTTGGATTACAAATTTTCTTCATGGGATACCTAAAATTGTGGTGAAAACAGGTGTATATCACAGGGTCTTATAAATTTGGAATAGTACTGACAATACCACATTAGCTGTAGAAACAGGGTTCTTTTGAGACTTTCCTGGCATTATCCTGCTCTTATTTGATTGTTTAAAGAAGCAATGGAAGCAAAGAACACAGCCAGTATCCCAGATGTAGTGTAAACTTTGAAGCTGAGACTGATGGTATTGTTAAAACCACTATAGTTATGATACTTTATTCCAATGGAACATTTTCTTCCCAGTGGCAGGTCTCAGCTGCAGGCATGCAACTGCATATTTAGTGTTGGAAACATTGTGATTGTAATCAGAACATTGTGTGTTGGGTACCAAGCATCCATATGCTCTGTTTCCTCTGTCAAGGACTCAGCATCCTTGCCTGAAGTTAGAATCAAGAGAGGAGGAGAGGTTTATAGGCTGAATATGAAGGCAGTATGAATTTTGGGATGATGTTATCCTTTTCTTTCTGAGTGTATCAGCTGCTGCTATGTGGCATCTCTTTAGCTGTGTAATGATCACTTCATAGTCCTCTCATGTTCTTTGCTCTTTTCTGCCTGCTGATTCTGCAGAGACAGCTGGACCAAATGGAATATTTTAGGTCTATTGATGTATTTGGTTCAGTGTTCATTAAGTGCTTGACTGCGATTTTTCAGTTTTTGGCTGCTATACATGAGCTGTCCAAATGAAAGGACTTAGCTTCCAGGATCAGATGAGGTTATGTGTAATCTAACTGAGCTATTTCTGCCCTAAGCATGATAATGTTTTCCATGGGCCAGTGGCCTCTCTGCTGAATTAGCCAAAAGGCCACAGCAAGCACCTGATGTAGGTTTTAGTGTTGCTTTGAGATTTGGCAATATTTCAGTATTTGTGTGTTTTAGTACTTACCATATAGGCAGGAAATAGAGACAGAATATCTGCAAAGCCTTAAAAATGCTGCCTCACTTCACAGCAAAAGTTGATCTTAATGTTTATTTACAAACCTTGCCTTTGCAAAATTTGGATGTGCCCTGCTGATTAACAACAGTGTGGAAGCTTGAGTGAAAGTTACTTCATAATGAAGGCTGAAACTGGAAAAAAGATGATGATTGGTACTAGTGCTACCTATTAGCATTTGGTTTGGGGTCTCTCTAATTGTAAACATTATCATTTTGCTGTTGGAAAGTTAGAGAACTCTTCCAGGAGACTTTCTGCCTTTTATGGGTTACTGGTTTAAAATGTGGGTAAAGATATAAACAGAAAAATCCAAAAGTTTCTCCTGTTTCTCATAGTCTGCTATCTTGAGATGTCCAAACTTGAAATAAGCATTTCTGGACTTGATTTTAAAGCTGGATATTTAATCTCATCTGGAACGATGCTGGTAATTCCAGGCTTCAGGCATACAATGATAGGGCCACTGTTGAGAGGCCAACAGATGCCAGCCACATTTAGGACAATAGTTACACCTAGCAAAGGGCTGTGTGGTCCCACAAGGGCAGGCACAGGCATTGAGAAACCGTGTGTTGAAGGCTGTATCTTTCTCATAGCATGGGAAGAAAGATACTCTAAGAGAAATGTATTGCCTGTTTGCTTATTACATAGTCTGTAGTTGGGTGCATGACACAAACAGCCATTAACAAGGTCAGTACACATTGGAACAGAGGAAGAACCAAAGCAACATTCAAGTCCTGTCAATTTGACAACTGCAGCAGAATCCTTACAGACCCCTTTGGAGACTCTCTGTAAAAAGTTAGGCTGTTTCAAACTCTTTGTCTTTTCCTCCTTTGTTCATTATGTGTCAGTTTTGTCCTGATAGCTGGTTAATGTAGTTGGTACCATACTGCTTTATTCATAAGTGAAAAATAACTTTAAAATTAAAATTGTTTTTCTGACTAGAATAATTTAGCATTGATCACTAACCTGTGTTTTGTTCAGTATGATGAATTCTGTTTGTAAATTTTGTAGTCTGTTTTAGCAGAATAATTAAGGGATGAAGTAATATATCTTTAAAGTTCTTTATTGTCTGTGTATTTGAAAGATGCTTTGTGTTTACTTTTTTTGCAGCACTGTGCTGTTGCTGCCGTGCATCCGAAGAGGAAACAAGTTACAGAACTATTGCTCAGGAAAGGAGCAAATGTCAACGAGAAAAACAAAGAGTAGGTTTCTGAAATGTTTGAGTTTTCCAAAGGCCTCTGTCATACTAGAAATGTAAAAAACTAATACATCACATTTTTCCTCCCCCCCTAGTTTCATGACGCCTTTACATGTTGCAGCTGAAAAAGCTCATAATGATGTCATGGAAGTTCTACATAAACATGGAGCAAAGGTAAATATACTTGCATGTATTTTATTTAAGACAAAGGGCAAGAAGAAGGGTTGTGTTGATTACATACCGCATAAAATTTTTTGACAGTTGCTGCTTTTTTATTCTGTATGCCTTGTGCTTCTTGTGTTAACCTTGAAGTGTGCTTTATCTGAATAAGTACAGGATCCTCAGGAATCCCATTTGAAAAGTACATTTCTCCAAGTAACCAAATAAAGGTTTTTAGTATTTTAAAATACTCATTTTTAATGAATCTTGATATAATTTCTAATAAATACGATTATCTAGGTGCCTCACATTGCTTTATCTTGTTGGCTTGAAAATATCCCATGGCTGAGGGTACTGACACTGAGTTTAGTATCCTAATGCTGAGTATTCCTTAGCTCTTGCTTGCTTTTATTCTCAGGGTCAGATTGTTTTGCTGTGCCCTTTAGCTGTTGATAGGTGCTGACCTAAGTAATTTGTGAGCTTGTGACCACATTGTTCAGCAAGTTATTAAAGACAGAGAAAGGTATAACTTAACTTTATTTAGAACGTGGTTTAACCATCTTTCAGAAGTGTTTTGGAATGATCTTTCTTCAAGTTCTTGCAGCAAACTTAATATTCATTGTAATGATATACATCTCTACTTAATTTTTTCAGAAACTCTTCTTGATGGATACTTACTTTGCATTGGCTAAAATATAAAAGATCTCTCTGTTTTTGCTCTGAATGGGACTTAGATTACTCTTTTTAAGTCTTCCTCTCTGTTCAGCGAGCTAGAAGTGAAGAACTCATTGTTACCAATGTTTACCTGTTGTATTATGTTATTGCCTGTAATGATGATCAAGTGTCACTCTTGCTGTGATGGGAGGTATGAGCAATGTAGTTGTATACACAGTCAAGTGTTTTTATTTTGAAACTATGAATTTTAATTTATAAGCCTGTACGAGAGCTCACTGCCAGATTTTTTATTCACTTCCATAGTACTTTAATAGATCATAAAATAGCTTAACAGCAATACCACAGTGGAGTTGATCGTGTTTGAGAGTCCTAATACACTGGTGACTATTAAGTTTTGCCTAAGGGGGAAAGCAAGACCAAAGTTCTTGATTATAATCATTAAAACTGTTGGTTATTATTTTCCCAAATTCACTCTTAGTAGCATATCTATGCACTGAAAGTAAAAAAAAATCATTTTGCCATAGGAATAGATATCTCATGACTTTTATGGATCTGCTTTTGCACAGTAATTCAGTACTGATGGTATTTGGGTAGGCACTGAACGGGACATGCTGGAGTTTTAGATGTACTGATACCAAAGTACCACCTGCTTTGAAATCCGAGGAGCTTCTGTGTGCTGCCACTGTACTCTCCTTATTTAAATTAGTGCTTCCTTGAAAATCTGTCTCAGTTGTAGTCAGGATTAGGAGTAAGCTCGAAGATGGCATCCTTACTAGAGTGGACCCATTTTGTTTTCTCAGTAGCACATTCTGATGATAGCTTGTCATTCTTTTATCTCCTGAAGCTGAGGTTCCTAAATTGTGATCCATGAGTCCCGTGTGGACTGATTAATGGTGCTGAGTGGTGCACAGTTATCTACAGAATGATGCTGAGTGGTGTGTTCTGTCTTTTATTCCATTAACAGCATGCAACTAGAGGTAGATAGTGGTCATTAAACCTCCTTCTTCATTCATATCCCATATCCTGTGTTATTCTGAGCATAGGCCATTCACATTTATGGTCTAGCAAAGCACTTAAGTGCATGCAGGAGACTAATCAAAGTTAATATTAAGTGCATATTTCCGTAGTGCAGTGGATCAGTGTCCAAAGTTTCTTAGCTGTAAAACAGTAAATAACGCACCCAAAATTTTCAATGAGAGGTAAATCATTAAGGCTTTATGAGGCACTTGAAGTTCCCAGATGGGATATGCTCAAGAATATTAGTTACTTAACTAGGCATATTTAATCACTCTAAAATGTTTGTCTTGCTTGTGTATTATTATTTGACCTCTTGCTGATGCTTTGAGGTCAGAGCACTGTTGTATGCATTTGGTTCATCAGATACTCTTGACACTGGGATTTCTTTTGTTTCTGACTGTTGTGACATGGCAGCTTTTGTTCCTGAAGCATGATGCAGGTTTTGATGTTTTTCTTCTCTTGTGTGTTTGGAAGTAGTTCCTTCATGTTTTCTCTTTTTGTGTCTTGAATTTTAGGTACTTCATAAGATGTAATCAGATATATTAAGCTCTTTGATCATGTCTGGTTGTATTTTTTACAAGAGAGGGTTCTCATGAGCTGGTGAATCTAGTCTCCCTGGCATAGCAGCCTCCCAGTGAAGATCCATTTGTTCTTTGAACTGCACCCTCCTGAATTTTAAATACCTCTCTTCTTATTTGATGCTTCCTTCAGTGAGGTATTTGCATTGAACAAGCTGATTCTTCTTAGCCTTTGTTTTGGTAGGCTAAAAGCCTCAAACACCTAATCTTCCCTCATAAGGGAATGTTGCCTTTCCTGTTCATCCTTATAAGCCCTTCTCTTTGCTAACACCAGAGGAAATCTTGGAGTTCAGGCAGCAAGAATAGAATTCATTCCACCACTACTTTCCATGATGGCACTTTTGTACCTCTTTTGTAAGTGCCTGACTCATGCATACTGGGATCATATTTGCCTTTTTAATAGGCATGAGACAGTAGTACTCAGATCCTTCCTGTAATCTTACAGTGCACAGAGAATCTTGGTTTTGCTAATATTTTATATTTGTTCCCTTCAGCACAATTCTCCTGTGCCACAGTCATTAATGTAAATAGTAAAGCAAAATTATCCCACAATCAGCCACCATGCAGCCTTCGCCTTTTCAAAATATTCAGTTTTTCCATTAAACTCTATTTTTTCAATATAAAATAAAATAAAAATTTCCACTGTGATCTTTTACAAAATGCTTACTGAAGTGCGTATGTTGATATCTACCGTACAGTGCTTTTTCACTTTGCAGCCATTTCTTCTGTCAAAAGAGAGGTACTGTTAAAGCCAGCTTCAATCCCCCTTCTGGAAACCACTACTGATTACTGAGAGAGTAACAATTTGAAAAAGATGTGTAATTCAAAGAAAGAAGAACTTTGTTCTTCTGAAATACTGTGACAAAAGGCAGACAACTGATCCACAAAATTACCAGCAATAAGAGCTCTAGGAGACAAAGTCATATAAAGGTCTTTAGATAGAAAATAATTTGGGATTGTTTTAGCATTTTATAGGAAATTCTTCTGTTTTCATGAGGAGCAGCTGTGTCAGACAGCAAAAGTGAGGTCACACACAGTGGAGTATGTATGTGTAGCCTTTTTTTGTTCTATGGAAGGGGCAAAAGCATGATAAAGGCTGCTTTAGGGAATTTGGGATGGACCGGGGATGGTTTGTGGTCTTGGAGCTGGATTTAATTATCCATAATGTTATCACTGTGTAAATTTGCTGTTTGAAGTATGTTAGATGATAATAAACAGTGAAGGACTGCTTGAATAACGTACTTGATTGAGACTTATTTTACAGAAGGAGCATCTGAGAACATCGATCTCTTCACTCTGGTGACCAGTGACAGAACCTGAGGGAACAGCATGAAGTTGTGTCAGGGGATGTTTAGGTTGGATATCAGGAAAATGTTCTTGACCCAGAGGGTGTTTGGGCACTGGAGCAGGCTCCCCAGAGAAGTGGTCACAGCACCAAGGCTGACAGAATTCAATAAGTGTTTGGACAATGCTGTCAGGAACATGGTGTGACTCTTCGGGTGTCCTGTGCAGACAGGACCCATCGATGATCCTGATGGTTCCCTTCCAACTCAGGATATTCTGGGATTTGTATTGGCAAGAATTTGCCTACTGGCAAGCAATTAACCCCGAATTGCCTATTTTGGTGTGTCTTGGTGGCCCTTACTGACAGGACAGACTAGGTTCCTAATGTGAACTGTGAAGTAATCCTTGTGCACATTAGTTGCACATCAACGTACATTCCATGGAAGATGTTTTCATTAGCTTGGTACTTGAGTTTGCAGAAGTTGACTGTCAATTTAAAGAACAGGTGAGAAACCTTGGGATATCTTAGAATTTTCTTCAAGAATGTTGGTCATAAATATTTGTGGTTTTAAATGCCAGTTTTTACTTGATGCCTGCCCTATTTGTGTGAGACAGCATTTCACACTGCTGCTTTTTTGATGTGGAATATTCTCAAAGTACCATATGAAAAATAAAAGCAGAGCATCTTCAAAGAATCCTCAAACATAAACAATTCTTATTAGACCCTTAATCAAATCTTCAAATGCCATGATTTTATCTTTGAAGATTATCAAAATCTTTAATTTAAAAAATAATTTGAAAGTGGTGAACTAGTGAAAAGTGCATTTCATCCTGTTGTTTGATTTCTAGATAGTTGAATATTTCGTATGATTAAGTTGTTGTCCAAATTTATAGACACATGGGAAATTAATGTGTTCATAAAAACACTCAGCTTTCTAGCAGTGCAGAAGTAAAGGATTAGAATATTTTCTGTACTGGAAGGGTTGTTGGAAAAAAAGACCTGCAAGCATGCAAGTTCACTGGTATCCCTGGCAAGTGCAGAGATGATGATGAATGCTCCTTAATTGTGATATGCCTCTCTTCTGCAGGACAAAATGAGCCTTTTTAAGGTCGTGCCAGAGAGATAGTGTCCCTGTTTGTGATGGTAGCAGAAGTTAATTTATTCTGCTCTGCTGGGAAGATCTTGCTTTATGCATCTTTACATAATGCAGTTATTTCTGTGCATTGGAGTAGCATGTTGCCAGCCTTTCATGATCATGGATTTGCAAATGTTCACCATCTATCTAGACCCACACAACAAACTGAAATGTTTTTGAATAACCTTGTTGTGTAACACATTTACTTCCAACATTTCAGGGAGAGGTATGATTTTCTCAGGCAACAGTAAGAATTGAAAAATTAAATTGCCTTTCAGAAATGTAGCAGATTCTAGACTACGATGGTTAACAACATAAAGACCTGTGTGGTCTTTTGTGATTGAATGGTTGAATTTTTCCACTGCTTAGACATCCAAACATCCTGACCTTAATCTTAAGCTTTTATGAAGAAGAGGTAATTGTGGAACATCTGACTGGATCCTATGGGAGTTTTCAGAGTGAAACTGACTATTTTTTCCTGCTTTTTTTCTACTGATTGAGCTTGAAATTGTCATCAGTGCTGCTTCACTCCTATGTTTATTGTTGGACAATGTCCTGGTTTAGAGCAAATTTTGGAGGAGACCTCTGCGCTTCTTCTCTCTTCCCCTTCTGCCCTTGGAACCAGTCTTAAAGGTGCAAAACTTATTTCTGGGCTAAACAAACAAATGGGGATGCAAACATCATAAAGTCACCCCAGGACAGACAACAAGACACAAGACATACTGCAAGCTTGTCTTCAGAATTAATGCAGGAGGAGAGCAGTTAGAGCACTTGCATTGCAGGGAAGGATACTGTGGTGTGGAACTGCTGGCAGAGCACAAGTTTCACATGGGGTTGTTAGAATGTACATCTTTTACAAAGATTTTACAGAGAAAATCACAGTTCTTGGAAGCTGTTGCTTTTTGTGCTGCTGTGTGTAGTGTCAAGGAGCAGGAAGGATATTTAGGGCATTTGATCTTGATAGAAAACTGATATGATTATGAAGTATTGCAAAATCTGAGATCTGAGCTGTTGAGCTGCCGCAAGTGCCTGGCAGCCAAGGGAGTATTGCCGTGACTGTGTACACTGCTCCAAGAGAGCGGCAGTGAGGGAAGGGCAAATCTCAGTAGTGTCTGATGATATGTGACCACTTCCATTTCTATTCTGTGTCTGTTCAGGATGGGGAAGGGGAAATCAGGGGAAGGAGAGGAAAGAACAGAAGGAAGTCTGCATTCGGTAATACTGAATAGGACTGTATCTTTCTCTGAAACCACTTATTTAAAAACTCTTTTCAATTGATAACTGTGTTCTGCTTTTACATTGCTTTTTGAGCGGTGGAATGACTGCTTCCATGCTAAAAGGTGAAGAAATTGGATCCAGAGCCAGTGCACTGTGGAGTAAAGCTGTCAAACCTTTCATTTTAACTCCTTGCAGAAAACCTGTCTGTAAGATAATTCAGAGATACAGCCTTCTAATTCAGACTGCTTATAAAGGCGACCAAATTTATATTTATCTTTTTTTTAATAAGTGCAGCTGGAACAATCTGGCTACTCAGGGCACAGTTAAAGCAGTATACCTTGCGTATTTCACATTTTGTCAAACCGAGTTTAGACTTTGAATTTGAAATGGCACATGATTTTGGACCTCGTATTGAAGATTGTTTAACCAAGGCATATGTCTTACCAGGCCTGATTTTTGAGACTTTATTCTCAATTTTGTATTACAATTTGTTGTGCTTAAGTTAATTTTCATTTGGAAGTAAGTCTTCTTGCTTTAAGTCTTATTGAAGTATATTCTTTGGTTGGTTTTAGAGAAGTGGTGCATTATTGCTGAGCAAAGGTCTGCCCCAAAGTAAACGTATTCCCAGTGAAATTGTCTTGCAAAGCCTAACTCTGCTCCTGAGGTAAAGAGCAGCTGCATTTGGTGCATGTATCTGTCTGTCAACTGCAGCTCTTTTTGTCTCAGAAGGAAGCACGTATTTCTTCAAATGACTGATGTTCTTCTGCCAGAAGAATTGATTGTTGGCAAAGATAATGGTTTAGAGGTGAAAGGAGACCTGGAGAAGACATATGAGATAATGGCTCTGATGACTCTGACAGTGTTCTTTTCAAATGAATATTAACATTTTTTCCAGGGACATAGTCAGTATCGAATTGTGCCCAGTGAATGCCTTGCTGCTATTGCTTCTACACTTTGTTCAGTACAGGCCTGTTTAACACAGGAAGTCAGTAATAAAGAATACATTACTTAGGATTTTCTTTTTTGGATGAATGGAGCATTATCAGCTACTTGGAGAATCCACAAATTTCATTTCATTCTGCTTTTACCATTACTAAATGTGCGTAGCCCCAGAGTTCTGCTTACCTCTGTGCCCTTATCAGTGGTGAAAGGTATCTGGTATCCTGAAAGAGATGAGGATTATCATATGGACAAAATGATGGATTTGGGACATTCAGCATCTAGTTAACATGTATGATAGCGGTAGGTTTTTTATTTGAAACAAAACTTTTAGGGCAATCCTATTGGAGTGGCATGAGCTGAGTGCAGTTAGAAGAAAGCAGACCTGTTCTCCTGTCCATCTTGCTGCAAGAGAGGTTTGTGATCTGAGAAATTCCTACTCTGTCAGTCTGTAAAATAATTTCAGACAATATCAAATTACACTTTTCTTCATTTATTTGGTGGTTCTTTGTTCTTTTTTGTGACTTGATATTGCAGTATTGCAGGTATTTTACTTTTTTACTATATCTTGCAGTAGATCTTTGCGTAGTTAATTTAATTTAGTTTTAGTTAAATTTTGTTTAGTTATAAAATAAGTGTCTTAACCAAAATGCTTTTTCACTGGTTTCATGAAGGCTAGCAGGGTTTGCATACTGCATTTTAGGTGAGAAATAACAAGCAAAACCTTTGTTTGCTGTCACCACAAAGATTTTGAGACCGTAAAAAAGGTGAATTTTACACAGTAACAAAGTTTATTATGCATGCAGTTCACAGCCTGCAATCTGTAGGCTTGGAAACAGATAACAGGTTCTGAGTTGCTTGCAGAGACTATAGAGTAGTTCTGTATTTCATAAAGTGGTAAAAAAGCTGCTGGGCATTTGCATTTAAATTTGTCATGAATCGCTGCTAGATACAGAGTATCTTCTTGAAAGGTTATTTTCATGGGAGTGTTTTTCCGCTTTTTAAAGCTCTCTATTATTCCTTTTTTTGATAGCGCACTGGGAGAGATGCTTCTGGTTATTTAGCTGCACTGTTAGATCTTGACAGATGGATGTGTTTCCATTATATCATACTCTTTGAAAATTATACTCCATTTTTCCTGTTTATACAGCCTTGTATTGAGAAGAATTATATTCAGTTATACTTAACATTGATGTGAAGGCACAAAAAGTGAGGAGGAAATGTTTGTATCCAACTTTTCTCCCCACCCCCTCTTCATAGAATTCTTCATTTGACATCTTTGTTTTGCATTAGTTCTTGGTACTGGGTCATGTTGAGTTATTCTTCTTCTGACAATGACAGATGGAAATTTCCTTAAAGCTGTAAGATCCTTAAATTGTTTGGTAACAATTTATGTCAAGTTACCTCTTTCTCGTACTGTAATAGTGTTTCTTTTCTTGCACGAGATTGGTCTTCATCAAATTTCACAAAAGCTTGATCACTATTTAAAGTATGGTTCTGGGGATCCTATATTGTTTGTTAGCCATGCAAGTAAATAACCTCTGTTGTTAAAAGACAGGAAAACATCTGTGGTAAATTATTTTTTCTTTGGAGTGTTTGCCTGTTTTGTCATTTGGTTTTGTTGAATTGCAGTGCAGAAGAATTGATAGGTAAATTTGTATGCCGAAAAATTCTTCTTACTACTCTTCTTACTAAGGACAGGGATAGGTGCAGTCTTTTAATTACAAGAGTGTTTTATTTTATATTGCTGCTGCTTTTTCAGATGAATGCACTGGACACACTTGGTCAGACAGCATTGCACAGGGCTGCCTTAGCAGGGCACTTGCAAACCTGCCGGTTGTTGCTGAGTTATGGCTCTGATCCCTCCATCATCTCTTTGCAAGGCTTCACAGCAGCACAGATGGGAAATGAAGCAGTGCAACAGATCTTAAGTGGTGGGTAAAAGTAAAGGCTTGTGTATTTGAACTTCAGCTTCTCCCTTTACAGCTTTGAATCTTGTTTCTTTCTCAGAGCATGAGACTTGAAGTAGTTTTCTCATCTCTCCCCTCTGCCATCAAGTGCACACAGCTACAGTATGTATTGTGCGACACTTCTCAGAAAATAAGTAAATAGCTCTGCTCAGTTCAGTGATTTTGTGCAAATGGAGAAGAAGATAACCATCTTGTAGATCTAGGATATGCTGGCTGTACAAGAAGGTTGTAGGAAAGCACATGTAGGGAGTTTTGGGATTTTTTTGGTAGCAAGTTCCAAGGCAACTGGAATATTGCTGAGCATGTAAGAAACCTTTTTCCCTGCATCAGCCAACCTGTTAGGTACTCCCTACTTCAGCAGTCACAAGCAGAGTGTAACTGGCAGAAAAACACTGGTAGTTGCTAAATAGTTTGAACTTTTACTTCAAATCTCTTGCTTGTCCAGTAGAGAAAGATTTTATTGTGAAAGTGCTCTAGATAGTGCTTAGGTAACAATTTGTCTATATCTTCTATTGAAATGATGAATAGATGTTTGAAAAGCACTATTTTTCATAAAAGTGCTTAAGGGTTTGCATCCTCTTACCCATGTTACATTTGAATTTTTGCAAGTACAGAGAAAAATAATTGCATCAATAGCGAGTAAAGACCAAGTAACTCACCTTAGAGTGAGATGTGCAGGTAGTCAAACAAAGGCAGATATCCAGATAGATGAGAAGACATGTAGCTAGAAACTCCATTTCCTCCGGTGTTTTCAAGAATATTGCCTTAAAACAGGACAAAACAAGGAAAAAGCATTTTACAGCAGTGCAAAGGACTGTTTTGAAGTGTGACCACTCCTGAGATGTAGCTGGTTACCTGGATAGTGTTTTCTGTTAAAATGTGTACATGAATGTATGTATGTGGATTGAGAGAGAAGAATGTTGGCAGAATCATGTCAGCTTTAGAGTCAAAATCTGACTGATTTGCTCTAAAACTAAAGCTCCTTATTCAGACATGTTGGCAGTATGAACTTGAACATCACAACCCCAGGTGCATTTTCAAAAGTAACAACAGACCAACTTCACCCCCCAGCTGTGGAAAATATGTTGAGCACGAGTTAATACCACTTATGTATCCTAAGTAATCTTAAAGCATCTTTTCCCCGTGTAGAAAGTACACCGGTGCGCACATCCGACGTGGATTATCGGTTGTTGGAGGCGTCCAAAGCTGGAGACTTGGAAACTGTGAAGGTAGGTTTGCACAGTTCATGGGAATTTTCTACTTGGCATTGCTGTGCAAGGCTTGTGGAAACAGTGCCCAATGGATGGTAAATCATAAGAAATGGGAAGTCATGGATCTTTCTTTTTTTTTTTTTTTCCTTCTAGGAAGTAGTACATTAAGATGTACTGAGGTGTGTTTTTCTTGTGTTTCTGCTTGTTTGTTCTGCCAGTCCTTCCCACATTCATGTCTTTGATGGACTCAGATGTAGCCATAATTCTTTGAAGCAGACTCTGTGATTCTCAGAATCACAGTTGAGTAGAAACAAGCCCTCAGGTGCATGATTCAATCAGATGGCAAGCAAATACTGTTAACAGGTATCGACTCAATATTTTAAACCATCTTTAATCTGAAGGAGTGGGTCAGGCCGTGGAATCCCACCATCACAGGAAGGTTTGATCTTGTTTTTGATGCTTGGTCTGTGGACAAAACAGCCTGCAGATGGACTCCTGTGCATACTTTCCCACCTTGAACTTCAGCATGATATACATTAATATTCAAACAGCAGCAATTTTGTGTACCAGCAGTTCCCTTGACTGCTAAGCTAGATATTTCTGGTTTTCTGAAGGCAGTATAGACCAGAAATGGTGATATATCTGGAGGAAGTTACATGGCCTTGAACCTGGTACTTAGTGATGTAGAGGCTCACCCTTTCTTATACATTAGGAACATCTTCACACTGCTTCCATCATTTAAGTCTTATTTGTTATAGAAGTACATTCAGCTGTAAATTTAGAACTGCTATTTTTTAAACTTTGCATAAGTGGAAAGAAATTTCCTGATACTTCAAAAAATTTGTGTAATATAAATGGATCAGATTTTGTGTTGGGGTCTTTGGAGGTGGTAGTTTAGTTATTTGCTTTTGTGTTTGTTTCATGTTTTGTTGTTGCTGTTTGGTTTTGTGGAGTTCTTTATTTGTTAGTTTTAGTTCTGTACTAGATTTTGTGTTCTTTTGTTTCCCCAGCAACTTTGCAGCCCTCAGAATGTGAATTGCAGAGATCTGGAAGGCCGTCATTCAACACCACTGCACTTTGCTGCAGGATATAACCGGGTGTCAGTGGTGGAGTATCTGCTGCACCATGGAGCAGATGTGCATGCCAAAGATAAAGGGTACATTTCATTCCTTGCTATGTTCTGCTGTTCTCTGCTGTTCTCTCTGGTGTGAGACTTATATCCTTTATATATTCATTGTGATTCAGATTTCAGTGACCGTGGTGTTTTTATCTTGAAAATTTTTCTCTTTCCTCGTTGTTGAGTATTGTTCCTGTGCTCTAGGGAGGTTTATAGACCATTACAGCATACTTTGCTTTCTGGAAAAGCCAATATCAAGTGCATAACCTGGCACTGTGATACATGATGCTTCTTTTCCCCTTTTTGCCCATTTTGGAGACTTTGTTTTCCTTAAAAGCAGCGTTTAACTTGTTTTAGGTGATCTAAAATTAGTTTTGAATAAAATGGGGTAAATACCAGGGTTATCTCTGGGCATTTTTCTAATTATGTTAGCTTTTGTTATTAAGTTAATTATTTTTACAGTTAATATTCAGTTAAATTATATAAAACATTTCCTTTTTTTTGCATTAGTTGTGCAGCAGCATGGTTATGTTCACTCTTTTACTCCATATATTAGTTCAGGGTGGGGGATAATAAATTTCCAATACTGAATTTTCAGGCTTACCCTGGAAGAAGTGTTTGGGTATCTTTCTGTATCTGTCAGACGTGCAATACTTACTAATAAGTGCACTTCAAACAGATTAGTGTTCTGTCTTTCTTGAAATTTATACTCAAATATCCAAACTTAGAACAACTGTGAGCAATTTAGTTTTTGTCTGTTATTAACAGCATTGAAGTTGCGTATGGAAGCTGTAACATTGGGACTTGCTAAATATTTAAAAGTCTTGTGGATGAGAACTGAAGGAGGATAATTAAGTTTTAATTGATTTTTAATAGAAAAATAAAACCATGAAAACTGGAAAGACTGAAAGATAACAATAATGTCTGGTGAAAGTGAGTGTTTTATCTACTGATTGCATATAGGACTTTATTTTCTAGCTATTAATGCTTTATCTTTGATTAGTGGCTTGGTACCCCTGCACAATGCCTGTTCCTATGGACACTATGAAGTGGCTGAACTCCTAGTGAGGCACGGTGCTTCTGTCAATGTGGCAGACCTGTGGAAATTCACTCCTCTACATGAAGCAGCAGCAAAAGGGAAATATGAAATCTGCAAACTGCTTTTAAAAGTATGTGCTGGAGATCTCAGATGTGTCTTTAAATGCGTATATATTTATTTTTTTCTGAAGATTAATGCAAAGTTAATTGCATTCAGTGAATGCTTTGTTGTATCTTTATCTTGCAATGGTCATATGGTTTCTTGTGTAATATCGTTGACTTGAAAAGAATCATCTGTACAAGTATTGTTTCCAGCATGTGTATTAATACTGTTAGCCAAGTAGGACAAGGCTCTGAAACTGGAAAAACCAGCTGAATTCATGTGAGGATGGCAACTCCCTACCTTGTCCTATCTGTCCCTTTCTGAAATAGTTACTGCATTTAAGTAAATTCTGTTAATACTTATGCAAGAGAGTGTTACAGAGCAATAGCGGAAGGTGGGTCCTAAATGCTGTTTGGTATGAGAGGAATTCAGAACTGTTATGTTAATGTATAATTTATCAAGCTCCTCGAGGAAATGCATGTTAATATACTGTGGCATAAATATTCATTATACTTAAAGGAAGAACCTGTTAAAAGCATGAGGTAATGCAAAGATATTTCCAGTGAGAAACATGAGTTTGAGGAACTTCTTAACATAAGCTCAGATCCTGCCCTGAGAGGATGAAAGGGGGTGCTAGAGTCGAATTTTTTGCCAATCACTTTTCCTCTTTCAGCCTTGCCTACTTATGTCCCTCTGAAGCACAACATTTAAGATAGGAGAAAGTCAGAATACGGATGTCTTAAGATACACATGGTCTACCCCAGCCACTTTTCATTTGCTGCTACAAAGCCCCACTATTTCCCTCCTATATCAATAATTATTTCACTTGATTACCAAAAAAGCAGTCAGAGAGAGAAGAATGATAGTTTGAAGCACATCTACAGCAGAAACCAGGGGATATTAAGAGATGTCTGTGAAGTAGGCATGGTGGTGGCCTGGAAGTAACACCCTGACAGAGATGTTAGCCCAAGCTATAGGAACACCTGTAATCTCTCAAGCACAGTGTTGCATTATAGATACTGGAGATCTCTGGCCTTTTCTGGTCATTCCACAGGGAATTTGCCCATATTTTGTCTTCAGAGGATCCTGAATGGATGTCCAACAGGAAATAGAAAAGTGCTGAAATTTATTTTTTTTAAATCACTCTTTCACAAGATAAGAGCTAAATATGCCCTTAAGGTGACACAGATGTAAAGTCTCTGGGTGTCTGTGGATATGTGCTCACACTGCAGTTTACTCAGGGTTTCTCCTGCTGTGCCTCTTATGCCAGCTGGCAGTGTTGTCAGTTCTGCTGAGTTGTGGATGTTGAGCTTGACCCCTCCTGACTTGTGCTCCTTCTCTCCTGATCTGCTTGGAGAAGGAAACAAAAATAAACAGGCATTTTGGAGACAGTGTCTTTTTTAATCACCTTTCTTTGAAATGACCACCTTCATTTATTTCTATGCCTTGGAAGGGGTCACAGAAGACACTGTCTCTTCATTCAGATATTTATTTTGGAACTATTTAAATAGTTCCAATTTTGATGAGTTTTAAATTAAGGGATTTTAGGTCATATCTTAGAGAAGTTATTGCAGTCTAGAAATCTTTTCACAAAGAATGCTCTCTTCCTAAAAGAACCACAGCTGTGGAAACTGCTTCTATGTAATCGATACTCTTTCCTTTCTGTCCCTTGCTCTTCATCCTTTGCACCATGAGCACAGTTGTACTGCTTCCAAATACAAAGCAGTTAATTCTCTCTGTTCTCCCATTCCCAGTCCAGTGGGAAATGGCAGGGTAGACTCACTGGCAGGGACTGTGTTTGACTGTTCTGAAGAGGTCAGCCAGAGAACTCTAGCACCAGCAGCTGCCTCTGCTTTATCTATCTTTGTTTTGTCCCACTGCTGCTGAGAGTGAATAGGGAAGGAGCTGTCCTCCCACAAACCTGAATGTGGACGTGACTCACACCATATGCTCTGCATAGTTCTGTGTTCCCCTTCTCATCCCCTGATGCTCCAGTACCGTGTTCTTATCACTGCCTGATCTACATGTTTTACCAGCACAGATACACTCCAGCGGATATCCAACTCCACTTGTCCACCAAAATTTTTTTTCACTTCTTCCAAAGACCTGTGCACTGGTTAAGATGGTGCTGTTGTCTATTGGAAAGTGTGGAGAAGAGTATTTTGCTGGTTCCCTTCTGAAACAAGTGCCTTTCGATATCAGGGTGACCTTTAGTAAAACTCAGAGCCTGGCTTTGCTAGCTCAGAAGGTTGTGCTCAGGAAATACCTCTGCCAGCCATTTGCTTTCTGCCAGTTTTCAGGAGAAGGGGAGGACTGGCAGCAAGACCCTTGCAGCTGGCTTTCCTTTCACACTGCTGTGGCAGTAAGAAATAGCTACATGCAGGAAATGCTCCTCAACATACTTCAGTTGCAAGTAGAGCAAGGACAGCTCTTGCAGAGGGCTGCCATTCTTGCCTGTGGAATTGAGATTCACACAGCTGTGTTTCAGACTAATGCTTTTAGGCCTCAGACTTGTGAATTTATTTTCTTGTGCCTACTAATCTGTACAATTATTGCTTCATTATGGTAGGTCTGCAAAATCCCATTTTATTTGGCACAGTAGTGACACGCGTGCACTGCTGTGTGCATGACTGTGACACTAACATTCCACTTGCTCTTTGCAGCATGGAGCTGATCCAACAAAAAAGAATCGAGATGGGAACACTCCTTTAGATTTGGTGAAAGAAGGGGACACAGATATCCAGGATTTACTGCGAGGAGATGCTGCCCTGCTAGATGCTGCCAAGAAGGGGTGCCTGGCACGAGTGCAGAAGCTGTGTACTCAAGAAAATATCAATTGCAGAGACACCCAGGGAAGAAATTCAACACCATTGCATCTTGCAGGTGGGTAACGTGCCAAGTTTTAGGTCTACAGATGTAATTTGCTAAAATCAGGATTGGTATAGGAAGAGTTTCAGAGAGTTGTCCTGTACAAAGAGTTAACTAGGGCATCTGTTTCAGGAGGTAATACAATTACTAGGGAAGAGGAACTTTTGCAGTTGAAAACTTGCCTTAGCTTTTCTGTTGAATATTTTTCTTTAATTTAGCTCTCCTAATACCTAATTTATTTTCCTATGCTTTTTCTACAGCTGGTTACAACAATTTGGAAGTAGCTGAATACCTTCTTGAGCATGGTGCTGACGTTAATGCCCAGGACAAAGGAGGATTAATTCCCCTACACAATGCAGCATCCTATGGGGTAGGTGCAGGCAGTCTTGCCATGAGTAAAAGAGCAAGGGACTCCTTGAAATCATATTCAAAGCCAGATATTTTGCAGCTGTTTTCCTGTGAACACAGTTCAGGTTTTGATGAAGTATTTGTCAGGCTAGGTTGCTGTTGTGAGTCCTGTTTGCAGTCCTACACATTAAATAGGACACAGATTCAGGTGTGCTGTAGCAGTTAAATGCTGCAGTTTGGAAAGATCACTACAATGTAGCTTTTATGCAGGCAAGCAGATGCACAGGATTGAACAGTTTGGGATGATATTCAAAACAGAAAAGACCTCAAGTTGTGTCTGATGGACTCAGAAGGAAGAGAAAAATACCAGGGGGTTGTGTGCAGATGATGACAGGCAAGTGAGGTGTGTTACTGCTGGTGTTTGGTGGCAATCTGTTGCTAGAGTTGAAGGACTACTGTGTTTGTAATGTGGTTGTTCTCCAGGGCAAGCCATCTGCTGCAAGGGGTGCAGTGACAGATTCAAGCCATTTCAGATGAGGCAGGCCCTCTTTCCTCCCTATAGGAGTAAGCATCTGTGTCCCAGTTGCACAGATGCCTAATAGATTGCTTATAAGCAGTTGTTAGATGGGGATTGGGTGAGAAAGAAGTCTCTTGTAAATAATTGTACAGAGACAGTGCTTGAGAAGCTTCTAGCACTGTGCTTACAGTCAGAGGAGGATCTGAAGCTGATGTAGTACTGGGTTTGATGGTCACAATATGCTTTGTTACTTACCTGGCCCTGGCACTTGTACAGCAAAATCTGGGACAGGTGACCCTAACAGAACCATGATTGCTTTTGTTTGAAAGCAAATTAAGTAAAAAGTGCAGTGTTCACCTTGTTTTTAAGAAGAGCATCAATGGAACTCAGTCTACACCATTTGTATTGGTTCTTCACATCACTCTGGGGATCCCAGTGTCCCAAAGAGCAAAAGGCCCCAAATCCTGATGAAAGATTAGAAAGCAGCGCAGAATTCTTTTATGTTACAGGGTCTTATACCAAGTAATATTGTTTATCAGCATCTGCCTTTAAGCATTCATTCCCAAGATGTTTCTAAGATCTAGAGATAAAATCTGTTGGAAAGACTGTGTTCTTTTCTTTGGCATGAGAAAGCAAAACACACATTTTACACAAACCCAAACTATTTCTTATTGACATAGGCAAATGTCAGAGATTGGTTTTAGTGGATTATCATTTCTAAAAATCATAATGCCAATCTAACCTGGCTGCCCTGCTTCCTCTAGGAAACATTAAAAAGGCAGTGTTTGGTGCTTTTCCATCAGCTTATTTAGTTAAGAGTTGCTTCATACCTTTCCTGGCATCCTACACTTCTCTGTGAGCTGTCATCAGCCTGTTCAGATCTCTGTGATGGGAGGTAGAGAGGAGAGGAGTAATGATTTCACAAGTTCATAGCTGGCAAGATTCACAAGCTCTGCCTTTTCCTCACAAAATTTCTTCAGTTCTCCCACCCAGTACTTCATGCTGTGGGTCCCTCAATAGGGCTTTCTGTGACAGAAAAATCACGGGAACAGCAATTGCTTTAAAAGTTTGGCAGAGAGGGAAAATAAACTTGGCAGTATTTTCAAACGACACTTGTTCAGAGACCAAGCTGTTTTATGAGAGCTGCAAAGAGTCATTTAATTGCCATTGAGGGGAAGAAGGAAATCCATTGGCAATTCTTTGTGCCTCTGCGTACAATTTCAGTGTTTCATGCTACCACCCATTCATTTTGACTACCTGCTTTTTTTTCTTTGCTGTCTTGCACAAGAAGCATATACTGGTTAGAGGCAGGCAAAAATTTCATTTGTCAGTTTTCTCTTATTTTTACTTGGGAGACTTCAAGGACAGTATATTGATGGAAGCATGGGGTTATAAGTTCATTACTTTTATAACCCATGTAAAACAGCTGTTCTTTGTGACACTCATAATATATTTTATCAATTACAGCTCTCATAAAGTATGAGTGAAGATAGAACAGATCTGTGATGCCACAGATGAGTTCAAAGTCTTGCAAGAAAGAAAGCACAACAAAGACTTCTGTATACACACAGGGGTGGCTCAGTATCACAACACATGGATCTTCAGAGCTTCTAGTGCTGTGTCACAAAAGTTGCAGCCCAGTAAATTCACCAGTTCAAATTTGTCCTCAAATAATTATTTTATGCAGGGTTAAATATCATGTCTGGTCCTCCAGCTGGCACAAGCTTCATGCTATGTACTTGGGGTGATTTGACAGAAATCTGCTTCTGTGCCTGATCCCAATTCTTCTGTGCTGGTGAATGATCTGCTAGTGCGCAGACACAGATGACTGTGGAGCTGCAGTATGAATTGGTCTCTGGAGAATGTACTGCTCCTGTGACACAGGAAGCAGAATGAGTTAAGGAAAGAGAAACCACAAGGGTCTCTAGACACCATTACCTCCAGCATAAAAAAAGGAATGTATGGTTTACCAGTGTCATGTCGATTGGGGTGTTCTTGTGTTTTCCAGCATGTGGACATAGCAGCGCTGTTGATCAAATATAATACATGTGTCAATGCAACAGATAAGTGGGCATTCACACCTTTGCATGAAGCTGCACAAAAAGGAAGGACACAGCTCTGTGCTTTGCTGTTAGCTCATGGAGCAGATCCAACCATGAAGAACCAAGAGGGTCAGACACCACTAGACCTGGCAACAGTAAGTTCATGTTAGCCAGCCACAGGCTGCTCTGGACGATGTACTCTGCATATTAAATTCATTTCTATGGCTCTCTGGCATCAGCAGTCCTCGGCTTCCATTTTGCTGAGCTGGAGAGGGAAGGGCATCTCCTGTGTGCCTCTTTGTGGCTTTTTATCCATGGGACCAGGCATTTTCCTTTGGCTGGAATCTTAGCATGGCTTGTGATTTAAGGTTTGCTTCTCCTTAAGTATTCACTCCTGGGATCAATTTCCTCATTCCCAGGAATAAAACTCTCTGAGATGTCTCTGATGATGGTCAGTCTGTGTACTGTTGGTGATTATTTCTTTGAACCTAGGAGGAACACCAGATGGGCCTTTAGAGGAATGGGAACATTTGGTGGATTGTTACGCTCAGTGCCTCCATATTACCTCAGTTCCTTTTTAAAACATTAACTCCAAAAGAACATTCCAAAGAATTCATTCTACCTCTAAAATTTGTAGGTGGCTATCAAACTTTTTCTAAAACTGGCTTCTGTAAACTTTCTTTTAAATGGTTTAAAAGCCTAATAAGGTTCTATGAACATGTATGCCCCAGCCTAAACAATCTTGGAATAGATAATGCAACCAGATTGGATGCTGTGTCTGGTCTCAGTGCAAGTATCTTTTAGGGTTATTGATTTATTTATGGAGAGTTCAAGAAATATCCTCCAGAGTAATCTGAGCTCTAGAAAACTTGCTTTGTGATGAAGGATATGAAAATTATTTGATTTCTCTGCCGGAAAATAAGGGTGTCTTAATCATGTTCTACAAGAATTTTTAAGGAGGAAATTCTTGAAGATGAGGGTGTTGCTTAATTAAGTTAATTAAGGCTAAATCCAGCTGTTAGCTAAGACCATACTTCTCCTGAGCTCCTGTCCTTTTTTTTTTTTCTATTCTAACCCAAGAGATGTGATTATAGCAAAGGCAGCAGTAATCTTTCCACTGAAACCTTGTTCAAGTGCACCTGAAGTTGAGCCTGACAGAAATTAAGAAGTGGCATTTCCTATCCTAGATTCTGAAGGATTTCAAATAAAGTTGCTGCATTGTTCTCTCTGGCTTTAGCACTTATAAAGCCATTCTGCCAGAAAAAAAAATTAGATGTAGCTTCTTATATATCTTTAGAAATGGAGAGAACCTGATTCACCTATGTCTTGAGTGGTGATTTAAAATGTTCTTGCAACTGTGAATTCCCCTGTAACAGAAGCTGGCAGTTTTCTTTCTAATGGGGACCAGAACAATCAAATAAAGCAATTAAAAATTATTTCCAGAGATCAGTGACTTGTGACAGTAGGAGCTCACGTTGAGTGTTCTTTCTGTTTTTCAGGCTGATGATATCCGAGCTCTGCTGATAGATGCAATGCCTCCAGAAGCTTTGCCCACGTGCTTCAAGCCCCAGGCCACTGTTGTCAGTGCCTCTGTGATCTCTCCAGCATCCACACCATCCTGCCTGAGTGCTGCCAGCAGCATCGATAACCTCACGGGCCCGCTGGCAGAGCTGGCCGTGGGAGGGGCATCCAATGCTGGGGATGGAGCTGCAGGAACTGACAGGAAGGAAGGAGAAGGTGCATTTGCTGCTGGACAACTTTACATTGCCAGAAGTACTGTAGTTTAGTATCAAAATAGGCCTTGGTTTATCTGAAAAGCATTTCTGACTAGCCAGAAAATACCGTGCAGTTTGAACTGTAATCAGTGTTTTAAAGTGTCTGGTGTTTGTTAACTGTTCAGTGTTAACTGTTCATCTGTGTTTGCTATCAGTCATTTGGTCTGACTACAAATGCAGATCTGATTAGGTGCCCAGATGTTCATTGACTTCATAAAAAAATCCAATGAGAATTATTTTGATGAAGAAGTTATTATTGTGATGGCTGGGGATTTTGCCAAGGTTTTTTAAACCCTTTGATTAGTATCTGGAGTCCATGCTTTAGGTCAGAATCTAAGGGGGTCACATAGCAAAAATATACCCATCCTTCTTTTCCTTCAGTTTGCAGTATAAGCCTGTATTTGTCACAGATGGTTTGGGCTTTAAATAGTTGATTCTGAAGAGAGAACGATGATGAGCTTTACACAGAGCTTTGACACAATGGAAGTAGATTGTTTATTACAGACATAGACAAATTGATTTAAAATTCCAAACTCTGATTCTTTTTATAGAGAATCAGTGGTATTGCTTGATTTTTTTTTTTAAGGAGGTTGGTTTGTTTTTTGTTACTTCATAGGTATAGGATGTAAAGACTTGTTTCTTCTCTTACAGTTTCTGGTCTTGACATGAACATTACCCAGTTCCTAAAAAGCCTGGGTCTTGAACACCTTCGGGACATCTTTGAGACAGAACAGGTAAGTGGCAAGCCTCATCTCTGTTTCTGTGTTTAGGAGATAAACTAATGCAATAAATTTGAGTGACATTATCATTTTATAATTGAAAAAGGGAAGGAAAAAACCCACACTTCACATCTACAGAAAAAGAAGTGTGTTCAAGTTTTCTTTCATTTTTCTGCAAATGAATTGCCAGATACAATATGGTGAAGTTGCAAAACCTATGAAAATATCTTTTCTTGTTGGATTCAGGTGTCAAGTAGCTTTTAGTTACACATACACTGTGACTGCCAATTTGGCTTGTATTCTGAGAGTTATTTTGAACCTTGTGAACTTTGAACATGATGACTATAATGAAGTTAGGTTCAAATGTCACCTGTGTTTGTCCTTCAGCAGTCTTGACAGCCAAACAAGCCTTTCACCACCTGTAGTGCTGCATGTGATAGTTTGGTTAGTTGAGAAATAGGGGAATAAAACCTGCAGATTTATCAGTTATTCAGCATATATGAAAAGGGTACAACTAATGTAAATTTCTCAAGCTTTCATTATGTTTTACAGCAGAAGTACCTGTAATGTATTTGTAGATTCCTTTTGTGTACCATTTCTTAAATTTAACATGTTGCAGTTAAATTGATCTGTTTACATGACTGAGATGGATGTACATGTGGAAGTGAAAGGTACAAGTGCAAGAGACTGGATTTGATGATTATTTTTTCCTCTGGCTTCTGCTGCTAATCTTTTACTGGGGAATCAGGAAACGAAGGTTTGAAATGTGATGTGTTATTTACAGTTCCAGCTGTTTCTATAAAATGTTCAAAGATAAAATACCATAGAACTTTTCCCCTTCTCATACATGAAGCATAAGCTCTTCTCTTTAGTTTGGAACTCCTTCTGTTCAGAAGGAAACCAACCTCAAACCAACCTATGCACTTCTCAGGTTTTATTATTATTTTTCTCACTTTCCTGTTGCCTAGCTGGTCTTGTTCTACTTTTGCTTCCTTGACTCCTAACCTGTTAAGAGCTTCCCTGCTAATAAGATTTAACAATGCAAATCAGATTCAATATATTCATCATTTTGAAATCATCCAGCTCTTCTTGTAAGTTGCTTTGTACAAAAAACAAGCTCATCTTCTTTAAGCTTATTCTTTTAAGCTGGTTTTCCAAGCACTACCTTCATGTGCACTTTTTCACCTTGGTTCATTATTAGTAAGGTTGTAGAATATTAATTTCTGCTTCTGTAGTGAAAGTAAGGAATTGTACAATGCTGTGAAACATTGAATGCTTCGAAAGCACTCCCATACTTATGCTAGCATTTCAGTGCATCCCCCTTCTACCTAAGGAAAAATGTTTGTGAGAACCTTCTTCGAGAACCAGCTGTTGTTAATTGGTGTGAGAGAAGTGAAAGTTTTGCACAATTTCAGGCTGTAGCAGCTGGGCATGGTCCTGTGATAGGGATGGGTTTGCCAGAAGGTGGCAGCAAGTAGAAGAGAAGCAAAACATTATCTACCTTTATGCTTTTGGTTGCACCATAAATACTTTCAAATTTCGAAGTGATAGGTCTCCAGTCTTGAAAGTCAGGCCAGGTTTGACAAGTGATTTTTGTGATCTTTCACCTTTCCAGATAACCCTGGATGTGTTGGCTGATATGGGGCATGAGGAACTAAAAGAAATTGGGATCAATGCATATGGACATCGCCACAAATTAATAAAGGGTGTGGAGAGACTTCTAGGAGGTCAGCAAGGTAAGTATGACACTTTTACTGGCTAGTCTAGGGGTACCACACAACAGGCTCCCATAAGTCACTTTCTCTAAATGTAGGCGTTGTGACCAGACTTGAAAGAATCTGGATGTCAGAGAAGTGTGTTTGCTGCAGACATGGTGGCTGAGTGGGTTGTGGTAGCTAAAGAATATATTAAGGAGTTACCAGGAGATACAAGTGATACCAAGTGATCACTTGTCTTTTCAGAGAATTGATACCCCTGAGGCAGCTTTGGAAGCTGTTCCCATTTCTCAGGACCCTGTTTCACCCAGAGAAGAGCTTTTGGATATGATTTGCCCTCCATATCTACCCCCAGGCCAGTTATATCCTGAAGGATTGGCCTGATAGGGTTTTAGCTGCCCCATGTTTCTATGGAAAGAGGAAGCAATAAAGGGCAATTACATCCCACATGCATTTTGCTTCTCTCTTTTAAAGCCTCTGTTGCTAAAGAAGGCACTTCTATTTGTTTTTGAGGTTGTGCTTATGCCTTGTGTTTGTTTTGCATTTCCTGTACTGGGGTTGTTTAAGAACAATGATGATGATGGATATAAATAGAGCCAGTATTGGTTTTTCCTGTTGATTTTTGCTCCTTTTCATTCCTTCTCTTTGCAGGTACCAATCCTTATTTGACTTTCCACTGTGTGAGTCAGGGAACCATTCTCCTTGACCTTGCTCCTGATGATAAGGAGTATCAGTCTGTAGAAGAGGAGGTAATCCAAGTCCCTTTCTTAATGCTTCAGGGGCTGTATATTTTTCTTTCCACTGATAACCTGTCAGAGCTAAAGTGTGCAATACATGTTGAAAGTGCTAAAATAGGCTTTGATGTTTGAATTGCATAGTGCTGATATGAAGTTTCAGGTTCTTTATTTGTCCTTTCATGTAGAACAATGATAGAAATTATTTTGCCATGTCCTTCCAATTTTTTTAATAAGAAGTCTCTGCTCACTTAGTGTTATTCCAGTTTTATTTTGTTGTTGTGTTTTGGATATCGTCTCATAGGGAGGGTTTGCACAGCTTTCTGTAGGTAGGTGGACCTGTGAGAATTAAAAGCTGTGTGTGAAACCAAGACATCAAGGCCTTGCAATTCTCTAAGCATTTTCTGTGAACCAGCTTGTTTTCTCTTGTCTCAGTGGCTTAGTTAATCTGTAACCCAGATAAACAGCTCTTGGACAATTGAGAATTGACTGCAATTTTGCCTCCCACACACACACATGCTCTTTTATTTAAGTAAACTACAGGCACATACCATTTTGAAAGCAAAAATCATAACAGAAAAGAGACTTCCTGAAGAGTTGTGTTTGGTAGAAACTCCATTTTACTCTGAATTTGCTATTTGTGTCATGTTCCTACACTATAGCACAGAAGTGTTTGGAGTAATTTAAAAAGTCTAGATAATCAGGATTGCTGCCAGCTTAGATGGGCATATTTTATATTAGTAACTTCATAAACTAGAGTTTGTGCAGATCTTTTTAATAAACTCTTCTGAAGGAAAGGGTCACTTGTCATAGTAAATTGGAATATTTATTTGAACTATTACAAAATATTGTTGTTGCAGCTATAAGTATTTCTCTAAAAGACACAATGCAACTATTTCTGAGGAAATCAGAAATGCCCTTCTAATGACGTAGGAGAATTTACAGTGCAGGTATTTCCCTAATACTAAGAAATGCAAACTAAACTTATTAAAATCACATTTGTTATTACTATGAAGTGATCTTTTTGTATGTTAATCCTCAAATATTGGGAGTTTTTTCCTAATTTAAAGAGGGTTTTCTAGTAGTGTATCATTTTCATAGCAAGTACCATTATTCTATTTTTCTTATGTGTATTTTTATTACAAGATTGGATAATTGCATCATTGGGTGCTTGAGAAATTTTTTTTTAGTTCATTTTCCATCAAGACTGTCTGTTGTTGCCAGTGATATACTGAGACATTGCATGGATACTTTGCCTTGCTGGGAAGGTTTATGTGCTGAACATTCAGTTTTGGGTTTTTACATAGATGCAAAGTACAATCCGGGAGCATCGGGATGGTGGAAATGCTGGTGGGATCTTCAACAGATACAATGTCATCAGGGTAAGTTTCAAAACCTCTTGGTTTTCTGTGGTAAAGTATGTTAGTATTTATACCAGCGGGCAGAATCAGTTTAATGGTTTGCCCTTTTATGTTTAAAGTTCTTTGTTGAAATGGTATTCAGAAACAGAGTTAATGCAAGTGCTAAAATGAATGCATGCTCTGCACAGGGAATGAGGGAAAAGTGTCACTTGGGCTTCTAAAGGAGTCTGAAGGACTGATGTTGAAGGCAGAGGTGGTGAAGAACCTAACTAAATTTCAGAGGCCTATAACTTCTGTGTTTGACCCTTGCAGCACAGATTTATCTTTTTTCTCAGTGTAGACTTTTCTTGCCATTTTAAAGGGGATTTGGGGTATAAGTGTATGAAAGGATGATCGTAACTTCTGATAAGAGGTTTCTGTCTCCCTATGTAACTTTCCAGCTTGACACCACCTCATTTGCCTTTGCCAACTAGAAAAATGCATTTTCCAAGCCGTGGTATTCTAGAAAATAGTGTTGTCTTTCTGAGGGAAGGTGTGTGTCTTTTTCTGGGGAGAAGGAAATAGAGGGAATCAGAGCAGAACTTGGTTTCTGAACTTCAGCAAACCTGTGCTGCCTATCTCTTTGAGAAGTAAGCCTGTGCAGAGCCTTTGCAACTTGATCCAATAGATCATGGGCCCTGAAGTAAACTCTTCTTCCATCCTACTCCCAGTCAATGGTAAAGTCCTTTACAGAAACCACAGTGGTATTAAGAGCATGTGGCAGAAATTATATGGAGAGATTAAACAGCACATCTTATTATTTTTTATGAAAAGAACCAAAAGTTGGTTCTTTTCATAACAAATAAACCTAAACTAGATAGCAAGTTTCAAAGAGCTAGACGAGATCGGTCAACAGAGCTCAAAGCAGAGCAGGAAGGAGTTTCAGTTTGTAGTTCTTTGTGGTATTGAAGACTCTGTGAGAAGAAGCCTGAAAGTTGTCCTTTAACCCGAGCTGCAGTTTCACAGTGGCTTTAACTGTTTGTAGGTGTGGGCTACAGAGTTGTTGGAGACACTTCAGCCTTGTGTGCGGAACAGCCATGGGGTTTCTTCACAGTGTTCGTGTGTCTTCCATCAGTTTCCCTGTCAAATTAATGTGAACTCTGTGAAACTAGATTTCATTTCGATTGCAATTCAAATGCATTTGAGAGATTGAAATATTGTGGTAAGAGCATGGTTGGATCTGTTGTTCCACTGCAGATTCAGAAGGTAGTGAACAAGAAGTTGCGGGAGAGATTCTGTCACAGGCAGAAGGAGGTCTCGGAGGAGAATCACAATCATCACAACGAGCGCATGCTGTTTCACGGTGAGGAAGTCATGTCTCTTTGTATGTATTGGTACTTAACAAAAAACCCAAACCTTGCAAAGACCCACAGGCAATGTTATTGTTGCTGTGTCACCATCCTATGCAAGTAGTTGTGTTTCTACGCTAGAAATGCAGGGGGTGCATTGGGGGTGTGGGGGTGGTGGAGTTACTCTGTGTGGTAACTGCAATCCAAAAAGCTACACTGGATAAGAAATACTTTTATTATGTTTTGGTTTCTTAAGAAGGAGGAAGGTTTTTTGCTAAGCGGTATCTTAGTCATTTCCAGTAAAGCTGCTGGGATGATGTTACATTGCTGTGAGAAAGACATGGTGTCTTCTAAATGATGGGAGCAACACACAATAAAAGTGTTTTACCCTGGTGCTTTAGGCAAGCATCAGGGAAAGGAATCAAAACCAACCATAAGTTTCAGCAAGATTTCTCTAGAAATGCCTGCAAATGACAATTGCCTGAAGGTCCTTCTGTCCTAGATTCTTCTGTGATTCTGTGTAGGAAATTGGTTTTGGATATGATTGTCCTGACACCTTGCCCCACCTTAAGCAGTGCTGATTCCTGGAGAGGGTGTGCATTGACAAGATAAATTGCACTGAAATGTGAGTGGGGGGAAAGCCATTTAATGAGATCTGTGAAATGAGTAAGAAATGAGTCACACGTGGGATTTTGGTATATAATGATAAATCCCACACATCACTGCATCCTGCTGGGTATCGCCCCCTTGCAGCTGACTGAGCACACTTTCTGCTATTTAATGGTTTATTTGAGGCAGATCAACGCCTCTTGACATTGAGTCCTGTATTACTATACAACTTAACAAGTATGTGTCTTTTTGTGTCACTGTTCTAGGGTCTCCTTTCATTAATGCTATCATTCACAAAGGATTTGATGAAAGGCATGCATACATTGGAGGAATGTTTGGAGCTGGAATTTACTTTGCTGAGAACTCCTCAAAAAGCAACCAATATGTGTATGGAATAGGGGGAGGAACTGGTTGTCCCACACACAAAGACAGGTCTTGTTACATCTGCCACAGGTAGGAATCCAGCAGAGTTCCCCACACATAATTCTGCCTCTCCTGGTTCTTATGATCCTGGCACAGGGTGATATGCAGGCAAAGAATGGCCACTTGAGCTTGGTCATGGCAGGAAAAATGCAGTTTTCCATTTGTCAAGGTTGAACAAAACGAGTATAAATGCAGCAAGTCCCACAGGAAGGTCAAAAATTACATCTAAGCATGCAGTGAGTATAAATCAAAGTGAGCAGTGGCTCAGGAAAGAGGCTTGAAACAGCAAGTTTGAAAATGAAGAGTCAGGGGAAAATAGCAATTAAACTCCAGGCACTCTCAGGACAAAACTGCAGTGCAAAGTGGTGGTCAGCAGTACAGTGTGGTACTGTGGATCAGATAATATTGGAGGTAGATAATTTTGGAACAGGACTTAATTGCAGCTTTGTTTTATCCTGGAGTAGATCAATGTGTTTCTCACACTTTGACACCTGTCCATTACCTGCTGGTGGGATCACAGAGAGTTTCAGCTTCTTTCAACAGCTTCATATGAAATGAACTAGAACAGGCTTCCATGTGAGGACTAAACAAACTGTGTATTTTCCCTTCTGAGTGTCATGAAAGATTTTTGTGACAGGTTTTATACAGCCTTAGGACTGGGTTCTTTAAGCGTTTCTCTAAAAAGCCATGAGAAATTAATTGTAATGAAATGATCTCAAAAGACTGAAATCCTTCTAGAAGCATACAACTCCTAGTAAGATATTTGAAAATGACACTCTCTTTTTTCATTTTAGACAAATGCTCTTCTGTAGAGTGACCCTTGGCAAATCCTTTCTTCAGTTCAGCACGATGAAAATGGCTCACGCCCCTCCCGGGCACCACTCTGTCATCGGCAGGCCAAGCGTGAATGGACTTGCTTATGCTGAGTATGTCATCTACAGAGGGGAGCAGGTAGGTGGCTTAGCTGGGACTGCCTTTATGCAAGGACAGAGCCTGAGCTGGAGATGGGCTGTGCCTGCTTTCCACACCAAGCATGCTGTGATAATGCTGCTGATTAGGTTGTTGGGTTTTCTTTCATTTAAATGGGGAAATGAACAGTGAACTGCATCTAGATAGCAAATGCTACTCTTATCCACTGATCTGCTCTGATTTATGCCATGCAGAATTGTCTAATTTCCCCTGTGCAGCTCTGATGGAGTCTGTTAAGAATTGTAGCTTCTCTCAGTAAGCTGTCTTACTCCCATTGCGTTTTAGTGGCACTACTGCAGCATCAAGGTCACGTGCATTTTTGGGGCTCCAGTACATCTTGAGGATCCTGGGCTTTTTACCTGTAGGTTCCCAGCAGTGACAGAGACTGCTCTTAAATGGCAGCTGGAGTAGCACAGGAGTCTTCAAAAGTTGATTCTTAATCTGAAGAACTCAGCTAGACCTTGACTCCATAGAAGTATTTTGCTTACTACAATGAGTAGCACCCAGATCACGTGATCAAACTGAATAACTACAAATTTGTGATGACAAACATCCCAGGTCCTGAGAGAGCTGGCTGATGGTGTTGCCAAGCCACTCTCCATCACACCCTGAGATTACCTTGGTTGGTTGGAGCATGCTGCTAATAATACCGAGATCATGGGTTTGATTCCTGTATGGGTCATTCACTTAGGAGTTGGACTTGGTGGTGTCCTTGCAGGTTCCTTCCAACTCAGAATATTCTGTAGTTCTGTGATATTTGAAAAGTCATGCCAGTCAGGCAAGGACCCCAGTGAATGGAAAAAGGGAGACACCGCTTGGATTTTTTAAAAGGGGAGAAAGGTAGACACAAGGGAACTACAGATTGGTGATTCTCACCTCTGTAGCTGGGAAGATCATGGAACAGATCCTCGTAGAAGGCACATGCAAGACCAGGAGGTGATTCAAGACAACCAGCACAGCTTAAGTAAGCACAGATTATGCCTGACCAGTCAGGTGGCCTTCTATGATAGAGTGACAATTATGGTCTCAGAAAGCCTTCTCTTTTTTGATCAAACAAGCCCATCTCTCTCTCAGCATCTTCTTTATCCTGTGCTCTCTGCCCCAGCTATCTTATTGGTCCTTTGCTGAACTTGGCTCCAGCTTGTTGGCATCTTTCTTGTCTTGTAGAACCTAAAAGTTGTGTGTGGTTTTCTAGATGTGGTCAAGGAGGAAGTACTGAATGAACAGCAGTCGCTGCTACACCTGGTAATTTACCACAGGATGCTCATAGCATTCTGCTGCCAGGACACACTACTGATTCTGCTTTAGCTTGCTATCTCCCAAGGAGCCCATCACCTTTTCAGCTGAGTAGCTTCTCATCCTGCAGTGTTAAAAGGAATTCATCTCAGGTGCCTTTGCCCTTGCTTGATTCCATGAGGCTTCTGTAGGCCCAGTCTCATCTGTCAAGGTTCCTTGGAATGGGGCCCTGCCCTCCATCAACTCTAGCTTTGTTCTGGGGCTGAAATGGCTACCAGCTGTCTCCAGGAAACACTGGACAGACGGACAGATGACTTACTGGGTCATGTGCTTTGGGTGGGCCAAGTATTTTACTGCCAGTGAAGGCCTCTGCAGGTTACATTGCAGGCTGTTGTCCCTTTTGAGGTCAGACTTTATCAGTCATCTGAGATTTTTGAGGAACTTAACAGACACTGTCCAATTTGTAGGGTTAGCTAACAAGGAGAGTAACTCTGAATTCCTGTTGCACACAATTTCTCTCAGTGACTGTGGAAGAATGGAAGAAACATCTTTTTGTTTGTGTATTAACCAAGGTGTTAAGTACATCCAGCAGTTCCACACAGTGCTGACTAGGTTTGAAATACCCACTTTTTCTTGCATGCTGTGAACATAGAGCTGGTTCTTGTGCTGTCCTTCCTGGTCACTGTTTAGTGAAATGCAAAAACTGGAACTTGCTGAGTTACCCTTGCATAAATCAGGGGTTTCTTTCTTATTTTACTTTCAGGCATACCCAGAATATCTCATTACGTACCAGATTGTGAAACCAGAAGCTCCCTCACAGACAGCAACAGCAGCAGAACAGAAGACCTAGTAGCTTCAGAGCAGTGGAGAAGGTTGTGACTTCAATCTTGGACTTGGATGGATACATGTTTCAGAAAATCAGTATCACATAAAATTCTTAACAACCTGGAAATAAGCTGTATGTCTTAAAGTATTGCTGTCTTGATGAATATGATAATGAGTAACTCTTGCATACTCAACTGCTACTGTTCCTCTTGAGGAAAGTTTACAAGGGACTGCCTTTTAATAACATATCTCAGGCTCCTAGTCTCTGCAGATACCATGTGTAAAATAATATTGTTTTGATCTAGACCTTGGGAACATTATTGTGCAAATGGAAATCTTTATTGCTGCCATCTCACATGTTAAAATTTCAGACACTACTTTTCTAGTTATTTTATTTGCAGATATATTACATTAAGCCCATCATTTTCTTTTCAGCATACACCATTCATTTCCTGTTTTCAAGAGATCCTATTTATTCTCCTTTTGTATTCTGAAGTTGAGCCAGAACTTTCTTGAAAATATTTTGCACAAAGTCAAGTCGACTAAAATCATTAACAATGCAATATAAATTTCATCTGAGGAGGGGCTAGGTCAAGCTATTCAATACAGGGAGTTTTTTGCACACCTCTGAGCAAACAATAACATGAGTGAGTGTAACTTTGGAGTGGAAACAAATGATGTCAGTTTGCTGCCTTGTCTGTGTGAGTTTTCTGGGGGAAGCCCTGGGAAGTGTTTGCAAGGGTAGAACCAGCTCTTGTGCTTAGAAGAGCTTCATGCCCTCTTCTGGCATCTAAAAGAACATTTTATAAGGCTCCTGTTAAGTACAGTGCAGCTTTTGAAATGTTCTCCAGTTACAGCAGGGTATGGTTTTGCTGGGAGAAGCAGGTGAAAAGTCAGAAGACTTCATACAGGAGGGTGTATCTGGTTCATGTCCCTCTGTAAGACGACACCCAGTAAATGGGTTTCAGGCTGGTAAGGGAGAGTTATTACAGCAGTTTCCTGTCACATCTTTGTGTGTGACATCACAGTTGAAGAGCTTAAGGGATTTACAAAAGTAATAATTTTTTTAAATATCAATTTTACATTTTGATGAGAACAAAATTTTAAAGTATCAGTTGGCAAGCAGATTTGTTTGCAGGTATACCAGAGAACAAAGTTAGGATTTATTCACTTAATACCCTTCTTCCCAAATTCCCAGGTTTATTTTGCTGGGTAGGAGAAAGTTATTTTTAAGCATTGCATAGCACAGCATCAGACAGTTTCAAAAGTCCCCCTCATGGTGGATATGGATTTAACAAAAGTAGAAACTGTTTCTTTTTTGTGGTGTTTTACAGTTTCAGAGAAGGTTGAAGATCAAGACTTGTTAATTTTTTTCCTAGCAACCAGTACCAGGAGATGTGCTTCAGTGTTGACCATGTAATAACATCTGGAGGAAAAAAATGTTCCTTTGGACACAACATGTGGTACATTATCCTATCAACCAGCACTGTCTGATGATCCAGTTCATGCATTCAGGTTTTATCCCCCTTAAAGCAAGAAAGCAACAGAATAGTGTGCTCTTAGTTCATAAAAATGTACGTGCTCTCCAGAAGTGGGATTTTGCTAACACATTTGTATAAAACAGACTTAATCCTGAAGAGCATTTCACTTTCAGCATTAAGACACAACACTTTTATTTTTAGTGGTAAGGCATTAATGTTGAAGCAAGTCATCTTCACAAGAAGTAATCACCAGTGATCACCCACTGTAAAATCAGTCATTTGATGCAATATGGCTACCTGGACATCATCTCTTTGTAATATCTCTAAAGGAAACCTTAGAAATAGCAATACTCCAACAGAACTTGAACTCTTACTTTTCTTGAGCTGACAGTGGATATATGGTTCTCGCTTCATTTTGTGACTTGATTAAATATGTAGCTTTGAAGTCCCAGCCAGGCTCCTGCCTAGTTGTCCTTTTAAACAAGTTTCATTGATAAAATTGGGTGCTTGTATTTTGGCTACTCGTTTCATAGTGTTAGAGGATTGCAAAGATCACCACTAGGCTTTGAAGCTTTGTATTCACCATTGAAGTTTGGGGTTTGTTTTTCATTTAGTTAATAAGGGCATGAGGGGATGTGCCTATCTGCTCTAGGGTTTCAGATAGCAACCAGAGTGAGTGCTGCTCTCCATCCCCAGTTAGACATAGTTTTAAATGGTGAAACAGCTGTGCTGCTTAGGTGAGCAAAATGGTTAATGTGGGTGTGAAAGTTAAAACTTTACATCTTTCATAAACAAGAACAAATCTAAAAAGGAAAGCCCCACCGAGCCCGCAGCGGATGCTGTTCTTGCTTGTTGTTTCCTATGTGCTGGTTGAACTAATGGCTAGACAGGATTCCTTTTGCAGCCTGAAACTTCTAGAAGATAAAAATAGCCTGGAGGAGACTGAGGGGAGACCTCATTGGGGTTTTCAACATCCTCACGAGAGGAAGTGGATGTGCAGGTACCAATATCTTCACTCCCATGACCAGTAACAAGACTGGAGGAAACAGCATGAAGCTGAGATTAGTAGGGAGATTTAGGTTGGGTATTAAGAGAAAGGATTTTCACCCAGAGGGACCCCAGGGAAAGTGGTCTTAGCACCAAGCCTGATAGAATTCAAGAAGTTTTGGACAACACTCTCGGGCACATGGTGTGACTCCTGGGGCTGTCTTGTGCAGAGTCAGGAGTTAGACTCAGTGATCCTGATGGGTCCCTTCCAACTCAGCATATTCTGTGATTCGACTTTCCAGTATCTTTGAACTGCCAGTGTTAATGTTTCTGATGTTCTGTGCAGAGTAAAGGTGCTGTGTGAGGAAATCATTTTGCAGTGGTTTTTGTCTCGTAATGACGTGAGCTCGTATCCGTTTGTGGCCAGACACAGAGGAGTACCCAGGCCTGATGATGCATCTGTGTGTTGCAGACACCTATGCAAGAGTAGCATATGCTGTCATAGGTGCTCTTTCAGTTCAAAACAAAGTGAGGATTGCCCATCAATACCAAAGTGACCCGTTAAAAACCCGGCGGTGGCTGTGGTGCTTTTGGCAGGCTGTTAACGGTACAGACGCTGCTGCTTCAGCTGGGGGAGTTAACTACAGTGGGACCTTACAAATACTGTGACCCTATCACCAGGCAGGTGCTGCCTCCTGAGAAATGAAGTTTTTGACCTCCTGAGAAGAGCAGTCCCCTGGTATGGGGATGCTCACTTTGCAGCATTGGATCACCAGTGGGAGGTACTCCAGTAGGAGCTGAGGACGTAAAAACACTGAGCTAAGCCCTCATAGGCTTGGGAGATCAGGGACAGAACTTGGTGTCTGCTGGCATCAGGGACAATGTGTCTCTCAGGCCTATTGATCTTTGTCAGTGTCCCTTTGAGGCAGCATTTTGAAACTTCTGTGTAGTTTCGCAACAGGACCTTAATAGGCAAAACAGAAAGAAAAGTCACCACCTAACAAAGGAGGGTTCTGCTCTCCACTGCTGAAACTGTTTCCATGAGACTGATGAGTTAGATACCTGGTGCAGAGTGACACTGCATTCTGATTGCTGTCAACAAAACTTTTGTTAGGATTAAAAGCAGACAGTACAGTACCTTAATAAGGTATATTTTATTTTTTCATTCTTATTTTTATCTACCAGTTGTGTTTGATCCCAGCTCCATAGAGACTGTTACAAACCTGTTATACTAGTTCCACCATGTGGCAGTCACTATTGGTTTTTTAACCTCTGTTTCAAGTGTTTGCATGAGATGCAATTGAATCCCACTGCATTATGTAGCAGGAATTTATTTTGTCTGCAAACTTAAGCTTTGCTTGTTTGTTATGGGAGTACCTCAAAAGAAAATTCTACACTGAAGCGGAGAGAAAACCCTGCAAAATGTTGTGCACTGTTGGCTGTGGTGGCCAGCAGACACAGAAAAGGGATGTGGCATATGGGAGGGAGTAGCTGCTGGAGAAAGGCACTTTCTTGGCTCTGGAAACCAGCTGCTCCTGCTGTTCGTTCTAGGTTAGAGGAGGTGTCTGCTCCCCGTGAATGTGTGAGGTGCTGAGGGATGCAAGCATGTTGTGCCACTGCATCCCTCCAATGGCATCAGTTTCTGCACAGTTCATGCACTGCCTGCAATTTCCATGTGGGACTGCTAACAGAAATTGCCCTGAACAGGATTTTTCAAGATGGGTAAAAAGGAAGGGTCCAGCCACAAAACAGATTAGTTTGAACATTGCTAATCATTCTCAGAAGCTCAATGTCAGGAAATATGTGAATTTATTTTCAGTGGGATTTCTCTGTTTCCCTGCTGCTTTGCTACAGAAAGTTTAGCTCAGAAATCCAAGAGGAGGTGCATCTAATGCGTGCTTCAGGTATGTTAAACTGAATATTCGTGCCGCATTGTAAGCTGTGCTGCAGCCTGCATAGGGAACACCTGGGAAAGCACATCCTCAGTTCTTGTCTCATGTAGCAACTGGCTTGTGAACCTCCACAGGCTTGAATCCATTGGTGATCAGAGGTGGTGGCTTGGCACAGTCCCAGAGCATGTTCTCCTGGTCTTTCCAAGAGTGGCAGGACAGATGTGCAGAGAGGGAGCAGCAGTGTTCCCACCTCTCAACACAGAGTAGATGTGAAACCCAGCGGATTGGGGAACACTATATGTGTGTTAAAATCTCTGAAGCAAGGTGATGAGCCTGGGAATCTGTAGGGGACATGGGAAGCAGATGCATTTCCATTACACTGACACATATGCCTGTCAAGTCACATTATCTGGCTGGTTTTGATGTATGGGTCTTGCTGAACATGTTGATGGCAAGTTTTAGTGCTGGTCCCAATAATTACTAATGTAGATTATTAGAATCTCTGTTATTACAAGATAATTTTGACACTTTCTTAACATCTGCAGAACTTGCTTCAGCTTTGGAAATTGAAATGGGGATTTTCTGTGCTGCGAACCCATGAGCTTGTGCTTTGTCATTCCTAATTGCTTTCTCTGGCAAGCCACATGGCAATGTAGCTGGGGGTTGAATTTCTAGACCTTTATTGTGTAACTTGTTTTCATAACTAGCCCTGTATTTGTCCTCTCTTGGTTGCCAATTATCTGGAGCTGGGATATCATTTATTTATTTCTTCTTTTACCTTCTCTCTCAAAGTTGAAGACAATGGGCAGTTTCTCAGCCTACCTACATGGTGGACTTTAGGTAACATCTCTGTAACAACTGAGTTTGATCTATAAGTGTGCTTGGCTAAATGTCTGATCTGCAATACCTGTAATAGTTTAAAAGTCAATAAATACATTTTTAACAGTTGCTCTGTGAAAATGGAATGTGTGCAGAACCTGCTGCTCTGTCTTGGTTTTAGGACAAATTTGCTCCAGCCAAACCAAACTGTTGAAAACAGTTTTATTTTTATTTTCTCCAAACAATGTTTTCTCCCTCCCTCAGGCAATAAATAAAAAGTTAATTTCTAGAAAAAAAAAAGGAACAAAACCATACATATGTACATCAGCCACACAGGCATCTTGTGTGTTGGACTGGGCTGGAGGGAAGGACAGAGGTAGGGTGGGAAATAAGGCTCCAGGTGGGTTGAAGATGAGGCATTTTCAAGGCTTGGGCCAAAAGCTGCAGAAATGTTGCACAGGTGAACAAGACTCAGCACAGGAAAAGGGCTGGTCATGAGGTGGGAGAAGCTTGAAAATGCTGGATGAATGACACCTCTGGGCCAGCCTGTCCTCCACCCCACAGGTTCTCTCTTCCATTATGGCCCACCCATGTCCCTTCCTGCTACTTTTGGAAGAAGAGCAGCAGTGGGACGAATGAAGAGGAAACTGAACAGAGTAATCAAAAGCAGCCCAGACTGCTGCCCTAACCCCTTCTTTCTCATCTTAAAGCCACAGGAGATTGGACCTAAGTTTTCTAGAAACCAGTGATCCACAGAGGCAAGAAAAGAGGCATTTCAGACTACATCTCTCCCTCCAAACCACTTCCCAACCACAAAGATTGCTCTCCCCCTGGAATAGGCTCAGCTGGTGATTTGGCAGGTGCCTGCCAGCTCCTGCCTCATCTCCCCAGGCACTGGCAGGGCTGAGGTTGAGTGCAGGCAGCCCCGTGCCACCACTCCTGCTCGCCCCAAGGCCCTGCCTGCAGCTCTGCTTGTCCAAAGTGTACCTGGCTCAGGTAAGCAGCACCCACCACACACACCAAGGTGTCTCTGCAAGAGGGAAGGCTGCTGCACAATAAAAACAGGGAATGCTCCCTTGTCAACCTAGATGAGCTGGGACCAGAAACATGGGGAGAAGGGGAGGTGTAAAAAATAAGACAGTAAAATGGGGATGGAAACACGTGAAGACCAGGCACTTGAGGAAACCCAGTATACTATTTTGTTCCTCCCCCAAAGAGCCTGGACAATGTCAAGGTTTGTGGCTTTTACAACTTCGTGCTTTTAAAACATAACAATAAAAAGCAAACAAACCAAGATGAGGTAAGAAATTTCTCTACGAAAAAGATGGCGAGTCCAGGGTGAAGGGCAGTGTCCGGCACTATTGCTTAACATCACGGGGCTCGGCGCCCCTGCACGCCCGGCACTGCCTGCCCGGCTGGCCTGGCCCTGAGCTAACAGCTGGGTGATGTGGTGATGGGGCTGTGCAGGTAGGGCAGGCTGCTGGGGGTGGCATGGACACCGACAGACACCGGGAAGCTGAAGACAAACTGCGAGGTGGGGGTGGAGGTGGCCTTGCCCCGCTCCCGCAGCGTCCCCGAGGGGCTGACGGCCTCCACCGCGTACGAAGTGGCCAACACCTGCGACTCGAACTGCAGCAGCTGCCCCATGAAGCTGAAGTTGGGGGAGATGATGCTCCGGCGCTGCTTGACAAACTCGAAGGCCTCCTCTAGCTTGACACGCTTCTTCATCATCAGGTACGCCAAGCAGATGGTGGCCGAGCGGGAGATGCCAGCCTGGCAGTGCACCAGGACACGGCCACAGCACTCCTTCACTGAGTCTGGAGGGCAACAGGGGTGAGATGTGAGACCACACCCTGCCACCACGGCCCGGCCCCTCACCAAACCTGCAGGTGGCGGCTGACCTCCCTCCCACCGGTGCCACCAATGGACACAACATCTCTGCACAGGCACTCACCAATGAACTCAATTGCCTCCATGAACCAGGAGCTGATGTCAGCTTTGTGGTTGTCCTCCACAGGGATGCACTTGTACTGGTAGTGCCCCTCGAAGTGGTTGGGGCAGTCTGAGGAGACGTTCAGCAGGGCTGTGATGCCCAGTGCATCAAGCATGTCCCGCCGGGCTGCGTGGTAGGCGCTGCCAAGGTAGAGGAAGGGAAGGATCTCCACAGGCCCACCCTGTGACAGAGGAAAAGAACTGGTCGGCCAGGGGGCAGTGGGAGACAGGACACACATCCAGATGGCTCGGAAGCATGGAGCTGTGTAGCAACCTGGCACCTGATCCAGGGCCCTCAGAAGAGGGAGCAGAGGCTGCCTTCCTGAGGCGCTAAACCTGTTTCAGCCCTTCCTCTCCCTCTCTGTCCTGTTCGGAAACAGGCAGGTGTGGGTTAACAGGATGTGGGCTTGTCCACTCTGTGGGGCACACAAACACCCTGAGCTTTAGGAGGACCACCATGCTTTCCCACGAGAGGAAAGCAAGCAGGGCTCTGGCTCCGCAAGCCCCAGCTGAGGGAGAGAGAGAGACTCCCATTGGAGCAGGTTGCAATGCTGGAAGGGCAGTCAAGATAGCTGAGCACTGGGCTTTTAGACATACCTGGTCATGGAAGGGGGTCCCACAGGAACTGCAGCCCAGATCCAGGGGCTCAGCGCTGGTGGGGGGTGACACATTGCTCAGGGACTTGGTTTTTGCGCAGAATTCGGGGTACTCCGAGGAGAAGCGCTCATAGCCCCCTGCAAGAGGAGAGGCACCAAGTGTTATCCCAGACCGCATCCACAGCGCTGCAGAACGCACAGCCGGAGATGCCCTTGGCCACTAGATGATGCTACAGCGATGGAGAGTGGTCCCTGCCCCTGGAGGAGCAGTCGGGCTCTTGGCAGCAAGGGGGGATCCCTGAGGCCCCACCATTCCCTCGGAGCAAGAGCACCAGGAACAATGATCTTGGCCACCCAAAGTCCCTGCTCCAGGGCTCGGTCCCCTGCATACTGCCAGCCAAAACTCCAGACTGGGGCCAAGGTTGCTCTCTGAGACAATGAAGAGAGGATTTCTTTCCAGCATACTCGGACTTAAATGGGAAAAGCTGCTCTGAGGCCAAAGACTGTTCAGTTCTCATTTTCACTTGACACATTATTTTGTCACAAAAGACAGACAGGTCTCCCATTCCCAGCTTGACCCTCCAGCTCAGAGCTCCCAAAACAACAGAGCAGGAAAGCCCTGGCTCTGGCCAGGTACAGCCAAGCTGCCCTCTGAGAGAGGTGTCTGCTGCTTCCCAAGGACACAGGTGCAAACTGAACATGGAGCAGCTTGTTCCTCTGCCCTGCTGCCAGGGGGATAAGCACAGGGGATGTAATGGCAGTCAAAACGAGAGCAAATCCTGAGTTCCCAGGACAGGGAAACTGCAGTGTTGGCCTGCCAATAAACACTTCTGGTGACATTTCCTTCTCTCATTCAAATCAAATTAACAACCCTGATATCCTTGAAGGGTCTGACTTTGAGCCCTGAAATCAATGAAAATCAAGTACTTTACTATCACCACAGGACTCCAGCTGGATCAAGCTCTGACTCCCAGGATGGTTCCTGAAGACTCAAACCAACTGCAGGACCTATGCCTGCAGATTTCAGCTTACAAGAGCATACAGCAGGACGCATCCTTCTTATCCAGCCTTAGCTCTGAGACTGCCCTGAGCAAGGCTGGATATTCAAAACAATGGATGCAAGCGTCTCAAGCAGCCCAGGAATCCCTGAGCAGCTAGAGCCCCCCACTGCCAGCATCCCAGTGTCCTTTGTGGTTTCCTCCCCCTACAAAAGGAAGGGCTCCAGTACCTTAAAGCAGATTTATCACTGCATTTGCATTGTCCCTCCCACGCAGCCAGGACAGTTTGTAGAGGCTTCATTTCCCTGGCCTGACATCCCTTTACAGTCCTACTGCTTCGAGTTGAAAGAGCATCCAAAACCAAGAGCCTTTGTTAGACAACTTCCAGGGATCTGGTCCTAAAATCCCTGGATCTACCACATCACACTCCAGTGGTCATCACACCATGAGAGGGAAAAGCTGCCCAGGGTGATGGGCAGAAACATCTTGGAAATAATGGTTCTTGGAAAGAAAAAGAGAGCTTTTCAAATGCTTCTCTTCAATGAAACTCATCAGATTCATTGATCCAGCAGCTCCTGGCTGTTCATGCCAGCCCTGCCCGGTGTAGGAACCAGGCAGAGCAGGAGCCCATGGCCAAGCAGCCCCAGCCAGGCTGTTCCACAGGGAGCCTGGCAGCAGCCTGACCTGCACAAAACACTTCAGGATCTTCACTGTGACCTGCACCCGACAAATGTGCACTTGGGCATGCACAGCTCTGGGTTAGTGTAGCTCTCATGGAATCAGAGCAAGATCATTTTAGTGGCTCTGTGGAACACAAGAAGAAGACTGTAGTGCCGAGACTGAGTCTCTCAGAGCCCGTTCTTTAAAAGGGCTCCCATTCCAACCAACCTCCCACGAGAACCACAGAGGCACCAGGAGCTCTCAGCTGACAAAGGCCACCCTTGGAGCAGAGCAGCGTTTCCTGCCACATGCGTGGCCCCAGCACCACGCTGGCTCACGGTGAAGGAGCCGGCTCCTGAGCGAGCCCTTGCTGTGCAGGCACTCCCGCGGCAGCACATCGTATCGCATCCCGGGAACAGCTCCTGCTGCTTTTACTGTATCTAGTACAACTCAAGCGCTAGTTCCTCCATCTATCAAGCCTCTTAATGGATTTGCTACTCTGCATACACATCCTTACCCCTGCTGTAAGTAAGCCAAGGAATAAATTGACTCTCAGGCTGTAAACAAAAAAGAAAAAGCCCCACAGAGCTCATCCAGGAACCCCAGCTGAGCATCCCCCGCCCCTAAATCATCTCACGGCAATTCTCAGGACCAGCAGCTCCAAATGCGCACAGCTTCCCATTTAACACACGGAAGGGGGGAAGCCCTGATCCCTGCTGTAGTGGCAAAGGGAGCACAGAGGCATTCCCCGGGTTTTCTGCCCGCTGCAAGGGGACATCGCCGTGACAGCCGGGGCTTGACCCTGCACAAATACCTCCTCTGCACCTCCGCGGGGCTGGGGCTGGACTCGAACAAAGCGTGGGGGATTCCCCCCACACACTCACTTCCCTCAGGTCCCAGGCAGGGCCACGGCGCCCGCTCGATGTCCCTGAGCCGGCTCAGACGGCCCGGGCACCCCCGCTCGGGGCTGACGGCCGCGCTGCCACCGTCCCGTACCCAGCTCCGGGCGGCGCTCCCGCCGGCTCCCAACTTGGGCAGCACGGACGGCCGGGGGCGGGAGAAGGCAGCGCCCTGCCCGCCCGGGGCGCGGCGAGCCCGGAGCCCCATTCCCGGGCGGGGGCAGCCGTCCGCGGCTCCCGGTGTGCCCCCCTGGCTCCCGGTGTGCCCGCCCCGGTTCCCGGTGTCCCCGCCGCCGGTACCTGCCAGGAGGCGGATGTCGGCGCGCGCCGTGTCGCGACGGAGCGCGCGCACCACGAGCGCCACGGTGCTGTCCTCGCGCAGGGCCTCGGCGCGCGGGCTGCGCTCGTCGTACACCACGACGGCGGCGTAGAGCCCGGCCCGCAGCCGCGCCCGCACCTCGCCCTCGGCCGGCAGGATCTGCTCCAGGCTCACGGCGCCCTTGGCCCGCCGCCGCACGATCGTGTTGCAGCGCACGTTGAGCGCCCCGCGGATGTGCCCGGCGCTGTGCGCCAGGAAGGGGCGGCAGTCCAGCACCAGGCACCGCGCGGCGCCGCCGGCCCCGGCCTCGTCGCGGCCCACGAGCCGGCGCAGCGCGCTGCCCTCCATCTCGCGCAGCCCCTCGGTGGCCACCATGGCGGGAGGGGGCAGGGAGGGAGCGAGCGCCCGCCGGGCCCCGCGCCCGCCGCCCGCGCCGCTCGCGCACCCCCGCGCGCGCCGCGCGCAGCCTTTACTACCCGGCGGCGGCCGGCGCGCGCCCCCGCCCCGCCCCGCCCCGCCCATCCGCCGCGCGCCGGGGCCGCATGAATGGAGGGGAGGCGGCGCGCGGGCCCGACGACGTCACCGCCTCCATTCACAAAAAAAGAAAACCCGTCCGCGCCGCCCGCCGGCCGCGGGCTGTGAATGGGGGAGAGCGGCGGCCTTTGTCACCGCGGGCAGCGCCTGTCACCCCCGGGCCGAGCCCGCCGCGCGCGCCGAGGGGCACACGTGCACGTGCACATGCCGCGGGGCACGCGCCCAGCAGGCGACGCAGACACACAGACACACACACACAGACACACACACACTTAGGCACACAGACACACAGAGTCAGGCACACGCAGACACACACACAGACACACAGACGTACACACACACACTCAGGCACACACACAACAGACACACAGACGCGCACTCACACACACTCTCAGGCACACACAGTCAGGCACACGCAGACGCACACACGCACAGACACACATACACACACACACACACACGCACACACACACACATATACACACGCACACACAGAGTCAGGCACACGCCGCGCACACTCTGCTCCTTTGTCCCCTGGCTCCTGTTCCGCCCGGGCCGCCTGCCGCGGCGGGGGGCGCTGAGCAGGGCCCGCCGCCGGCCCCGCGGGGTCCCCCTGGGTCCTTCTGGCTGCGTATCTCTCATGGGCACGCTCCCCCCGCCAGAAAACGGCATCTCATTAGCTGCAGAGCCCTGAAAACAACTACAGCACCCTGCCTGCGAGGCGGCTCTGTGGAGGGGGCTCCTCGATTTCATTCCTCACATAGAGGGATTCTCTTTTCGGCTCGAAGCCTAAGGAGTAAATGCACAGCCCTAGAGGGTTCCAGGAGGGTCTCCCCACAACCACCACCCAAACACCGAGCCATCATTTCACCCCAAAGTCCCCTTTGGGACTGCTTTCAAACAGAAGCAGTGTGGCAAACCACAATGCCAGCAACCGTGCTCAGGGCATTTCCTGCAAACAGATGCCGGCCAGTCCCAGGTGAGTCTGAGACCTGGAGGTGCTCAGCTCTCCCGGTGTGTACCCAGATGTGGTGGGTATAAGGTTGGGGGCACAATGGCTATTCAAGCCCACCTGCTCCATCACTGCTTTTCACAGAGAGCAGCACTTGGAGAGGCAGCTCGGCTTCCCCTCCTGCCCTGCGTGCCGGTCGCTGTTTGCCCGGGCAGGCAGGGTGACACCTGGCTCTGTGTGTGTGTGTGTGTGTGTGTGTGTGTGTGCCTGCGGGAATCCAGCCAGCACACACGTGCAGGGCCTGCAGCCGGGCACACTCCCGCCTCCTGCACACTCTGCTCCCTGACCGCTGCTGCTGCCTTCTCCCCTCGGCCTGAGTCAGCCCGAGCTGTGCCCCGGTGGCTTCTGTGCGCCGTGCCGAGCCGAGCCAGATGAGCTGGGGGAAACACAGCTGCCATTCGTGCCATACACCCCGCTCCAGGAATGCAACAGGGCTGGAAGGCTAATGGTCTCCCATCCCAACCTGCATCAAACACAAGAGCAGCAAAACCCTTTTTCTGCTGAAGTAAAGCAGACTCTGGGTGGCCAGCAACATAGCAGAGACATTCTTTCTTCCTTTGGAGAAAGCTGTCAGAGACAAAAAACTCAAACTGAGAACTTGATTACAAATTAATGGAAAATTATGTAACCACACCAACAATACTTGAACTCATGCTGGATCATCAAAACATCTTTAAAAGTTTTGGGCAAGGCCTGATGCCAAAATATGTTGTTATCTTTGTTCCTCTTGAGGAGATGTTGGCCATCACCCCAGGATGAGCTAGCCTGGTGTCTCCAATGCCCTCTGCACTATCCAATCCAGTTTGTACACTAAAATTGGATAAGCAAGGACACAAAGTGTATGTCCTTTGAGGCAAGCCTATCATCTTAACTTTTCCCCTCTCATCCAGCATGTGACTGGGACAAACTGCTCTGAGGTGGGAGAGGAGGGCAATATTGTCATGGGTGCAGGAAGAGGCATTTGGCCTGATGTCCCTGGATGTTTGCAAGAGCACTGATGAAGGACATTATTTCAGAGTGGAGTGTGGAAGGATGTGTGTGCATGTGCATCTGGTGGAGATTTGCAAGTATTTCCATGTGTCTGAACCCTTTCCCCACTCTTAATCCTTTCCTGCTGTCTACCTAGATGTGGCAGGTTCTTGGCTCTTTCTTCCTGGACAATAATCTGCTGGGAATGCCCCTGTGCACCCACACTGGGCATTGTCACCGCTGTGCTCCCGGCTGGTCACCTCTGGAGCTGGTGCTGTGCTGGGGCTGCCGGCTCACAGACATGTGCAGAAATGGAACCCAAAGGTGAAAGTGCCCAAAATGAACCAAGTCAAGGCCAGGATTCACTGCTGGAGGAGAAGAGGGATCTCCCTCACTGCAGTTAGCCCAAGAGGAGATCTAATTAAGTTCATTTATAGAGGTTTTAAGATAGCAGTCATCAAAATGCTTGCAAGGCAGAAGGCACAAGTCAAAAGAAGCAGCACAGCTATGTGGCGTGGAGGGGCAGGGTGTATGGAAAGGATTGGGGAAAGGATTTGGGATTGGAGGAGACCACAGGGCTCCATGCCTGACTTTGTAAGCCCAGAGAAGTGTGAAAGCTAATATTCCTGTCAAACAGCATCCGTATGGTGCAAACTGAAATATATCCCGCTGGAAAACAAACAACCAAAAGAAAAGAGAGAGAGAGAGCAAGAGACATTCATTTCCTTTGCAGCAGAGTCAAGGAATCATCTTTTATAGGGCCCTGGCCAGAAAAGGCAATTGTTGAAAGGGTTGAAGGGAAATGAATTGTCAAAGGAGGCACATATTTGGATGATTAAATGTCAATATGTACCTTGAATTAAGAAAAAGGAATTTACACCTCATCTCACTGTGGCAGTGAAAACCAAATTAGAGTCAGACTGTAAATTTGCCAGCCAATAGATGCCAATTTGTTGGGCTACCTAAAGGCTTTTTCTGCCCAGAGAAATGCCAAAGCAGAAGTTCCCCTGGGTGGGCAATAGTAGCTGTGGGCAGTTCTAAGTTGCTGGGCTCTGTGAGCCCTCTGGGCTCCTCCAGGCTTTCCTGGCTCTGCTCCCCCAGCTCCCGGCCCCAGTGTGCACTCAGGGAGTCCTGATGTGCTGTGCCAGGCTGCAGGTCTCAGCCACCTGGCTGATGTGCCTGCCTCTGTGCCACTGGGCTGGCACATCTGCCAGGACATTGCTATCCTGGAGTTTTCCCAAGAGCTTGACTCCCTCCATGCTCCTGGTCAGCTGTGGATGGACAGAGGTACAGAGCACAGAGCTACATCCTCACTACTCCTGGCATGTGACAGAAGCTGCAGCGTAAAGAGGCTGCCACCTTTCCCTGGCTGCTCCCAGGGGCTGGCCAAAGGGTTGAGTGGTTTGCCCTGGCATGTGCAGGAAGCCTTTGGCAGAAGTGAAAGGCAGAATCAAGGTCTCAGCAACTTGCAACTCTGCACTTACCAACAAAACCCAACTCTCCTGGAGTGCCACAGGGGCATGGTTCCCTTCTGTCCTCTTGGAGCACCCTACAGCTCTCCTTTCATGCAATCTCCCTTCCTCACAGCTTTCCAGGCTGGGGAATGCACCCTCCTGTCCACAGAGGGAAGTGCAGCAGTGAAAGAGTTAAAAGATTCATGTTAATAAATTCAGGCTGTCTTTTCCTCTAGGGCATATTTACATATTAATGGATGGGAATTGTAATGAACCTGTCTAGGGAGGCTAAAGGGGAAATTATGCAAGGCTAGCTGAGAAGGTGGAGGAGGGGGAAATGTTCATTTTCAGTGCTTTCCAGCCCCTCAGCTGCAGAAGCATGTGACCAGCCTGGGCTCCAGGGCAGTGCCTTGCCTGGCATGGGACACCCCAGAGTGAACACAGACCCAGAGGGCAGGAGCTGTCTGGGCCCTCCTGCATCCCTCCTGCACTGGCTTCTCACTGCTAAGCTCCACACTGTCCCAGATGTTGTTTTAAGCCCAGGGTCACACCAGCATATTTCAGCAAGCATGTCCCAAATCATCACCCCTCCTCCAAGGCAGCTCTTGGTGGGCAGTCCCAAGAGCAGCTCAACCACAGCTGGTTTCCAGCAGACAATCTCTCAGGGCCTTTCAACAACGCTGCGTGTGCTTGCAGCAAGAGGCAAGGGAGCCAAGGAAGGGGATTTGTTCCAGGCTGGGCTGCAGTGCTTCCCTATCCCATCCCTGCTCCTTCACACCAGGCTGCTTGAGCCCTTCCACAGTCTTTGTTGCCTCAAGCCCCAGAGTTCTCTGCGTGCGAACCCAAAGGCCTTTGACAGCCCATGAAAAATGCCAGGAGCTTTGCCAGGTCTGCTTTCTCTGCTCGCTGCTGAGCCTCAGTGTGCAATCCCCACTCCAGCCCTACAGATTTTATCTCAAGAAGAACAAATAATCTGTTGCTTTTGCCCTGCAATATCAGATAGAGCTATAAATCACTAGATAGGAGCCTAATTACTGGGCCTCTGATCTGATTTAGATTGGAAGATGGAAAAAGCAGCCTTTATTTCTGAAAGCAAAGGAGCACTTCTTCAGAGCACTGATGGGTCCTCCATGTACCTCAATAGCTACAAATGGTTTATGCCCATGCAAATGAGATCAGGGCAGGACCCACTCAAATTAGCAGGATACAAAGTGGCTTGCAGATTTTCTGTTGCAGATTTGGTTTCTTCCCCTCCCCGCCCCTCTCTCTCAACCCCCTTCTTTTGGCCACTGCTTTATCTCTGCTTGTAAAAGTCAGTGCAGCTCCAGTTGCTCTGGGTGAGAAACATGAGGTCTGATCCAGCATGGTCAGTGAATGGGAGCAAGATTTTAAGAAGATCAATGGCT